CCACGGCACTGACTGCACAGCTGGAAGACTCTGAATCCTCTGGTGCCTGAGGTTTTTATACACCTTCTCAAATGCTAACATCCAATCAGAACCCCTGGTCTAAACCCCATAATCCTAATGGGATTTATGTGTTTCTCTCTATTAATTGATTGACCCAGATATCCGTTTAGGAAAGAGAAAGTTAGGGAGGGGCAAGGTTGAAGAATGGCTCATTGATTCCTTCCAAAGGCCCATAGTTATCATACTTGGTGTGAGAGAGTGAAGGGTGTAATGGGTTCCTGATGTTAGAAAGGAAAAAAACACAACCTGAGAGCATGGTTGCTGGGATCTTTGGCCACATTAGAGTAATCCACAGTTAAAACAGGCGGGAAGACAATGGTGGCATCCCCCCCCCCAAAAAAGAAATGTGTCCATGCATCTAGTTGTCACTTAGGTTTTATGTCAGGTGACACAGCAGATCATGAGCTCCTTCAGGGAGCAAGCAGTGGTTGGTTGAGGATGTGGGGGGCCCTTCAGACCACAAGGCTTCTCTGAGGGAGGTCAGGACAGAATCACCATGAGAAGCAGGGGTCAGGGCTGGGCAGTGTGGGGCTGAGCCATCCTAATGGAACCCTGTGAATGACCCAGGGCCATGTAACAGATGGGTGTTTTTCCTTGGAGAGACGAGAGATGGAAAACTCTTCTCTGGGTGAATTTAGGATTTAAAAGGAGACAAGCTGGAGGGCAGGCAGTGCCATCCTAGAGGGCACAGGGAGGGATTCCATCTTCTGTCCCTCCCAGGAGGAAAAGGGTGGGTCTCCTCTGGGCAAGATGAGATTAGCTCAGCGACTGGGTGGAGAAGATTAAATCTAAGAATGTGATTAGAGGGACAGAGGCCAGGCCTGGGAGTTAGACATTTTCAAGCCCGAGAGACACTGAAGGCAGGTGCATGGGCTCTTCTGGGATCTTGGAGCCCGGGAGAGAAATAAACATGGGCCAATCACACGTAACCCTGTCACATCATGGCAGCTGCCACGAGGTGACGTTTATCTGCGGGTCGGGGTTCTTCCACAGAGAACCCTTCCCAGGTAGCAAGTGCCTTCCCTCACCACATAGTGTCTCCATGGCCCCATTTCTGCCCTCATGGCACCCCTTCACTTCACCACACCCCCAATGATCTCCCTTATGACCATCGGCCCTCAGGTCCCCTCTTCAGTAAGCCTGTCCCCCAATATCACTCTGTTCTGTATTTGTCTGACAGCCTGTTGTCTTCTGGACCAGAGGCTCTTTGAAGCCAGGGAGCAATCATGGCTCCTTAGATCTCTGTTGTGACTGGGTTGGCTGGGGCTCAGATCTCAGACCTGGTGGAGAACTGACTGCACAGCTGGAGGACTCGCGAAAAATTGATTTTTAAAAATATGTTTATAATGATGCCTTTAGTAATAGTTAAATCCATTTATGGCTTTTGATCAAAGTGCAATAATAAAAACCACACCTATAATGGATCAAGCATACTATGAGTCATTTTAAATATATGGTCTTTAGTTTTCCCATCATACTTGCAATGTAGATAATAGCCCTCTTTTTATATAGGAGAAAATTGAAACTCAAAGAAGTAATTTTGCTGTAGTTGCACAGAGAGACGGGATATGGAGCATGGGAGAGAGCTGGATGCAAAGTCCTGCAGGATACCTACCTCTCTGAGAGATTTTCGATGCTTCTTGAGTGCGAGAGAGATTTTTGAGAGGAAGACTCTAATATGTCTTTGCTTTCCTGAGAAGAGCTAGTGGAAGGAAAGCCAAAATAAAAATGGAACTAAGGAAGACTGGTGGGATAATATCCAGAGAAGAGAGAAGGAAGTGGGGATAGAGTGGCCAAGTTAGAGAACAGGACAGACATACTCATAGCAGGACAGGAGATGACTTCATTTTTCTCGATCAAGTACTACACCCAGTTCTCTGCTGAGAGTGATTGAGGTTTGAATGGGGTTGTTGGCATGTAATGTGTGGTAACACTTGGTGTAACCACAGGAATGAGCAAAAGAATGGTAGTGTTGAGGACCCAGCTCAGGCCACAACTATGTTCAGAATGACTTTTTCATTGAGAATGCCATCCTATAAGGACATGTGTCATCTCATTGATTGCCAGGGATGACTCAGTTTTTTTTGGCCGGTTGACCAAGGGAGGTGTTTCTTCCTTCCCCTCTCTGTGTGTAAGTTTACTGAAACTATCTATTTACATTTATAAGCTCAAATAGGACTGCTCTTCAGTCCAGAGTACTTTAGTAGCTACACTTCCTTTCTGTGAGTCTCTTGAGCAGGCTCTCAGGTGAAGGAAGAATTTGACAAAATGATTATATGGAAACCTCAATGGAACTACTTTCACTTCCTCTTTTATTTATTTTTTTAATTAAATCTTTATTGTTCAGATTATTACAGTTGTTCCTCTTTATTCCCCCCATAGGCCCCCTCCATCAGGTTCCCACCCCACCTTCTGCCCTTACCCCTGCCATTGTCCTCATCCATAGGTGTATGATTTTTGTCCAGTCTCTTACTGCACCCCCACACCCCTTCCCCCCTGAGAGTTGTCAGTCCACTCCCTTTCTATGTCCCTGATTCTATTATATTCACCAGTTTATTCTGTTCATCAAATTATTTATCTTCTTAAAGGATACCTTTCAGCATTTCATATAATACTGGTTTGGTGGTGATGAATTCCTTTAGCTTTTTCTTATCTGTGAAGCTCTTTATCTGACCTTCAATTCTGAATGATACCTTTTCTGGGTAAAGTAATCTTGGTATTCATCACTTTGAATATTCCTTGCGACTCCCTCCTGGCCTGCATAGTTTCTGTTGAGAAATCAGCTGACAGTCCTATGGGCACGCCCATGTAGGTAACTAACTGTTTTTCTCTCGCTGCTTTTAAGATTCTCTCTTTGTCTTTTGCCCTTGGCATTTTAATTATGATGTGTCTCGGTGTGGTCCTCTTTGGATTCCTTTTGTTTGGGGTTCTCTGCGCTTCCTGGACTTGTAGGTCTATGTCTTTCACCAGGTAGGGGAAGTTTTCTGTCATTATTTCTTCAAATAGGTTTTCAGTATCTTGCTCTCTCTCTTCTTCTGGCACCCCTATAATTCGGATGTTGGTAGGCTTGAAGTTGTCCTTACACTGAGGCTCCTTACACTGCCTTCATATTTTTGGATTCTTTTTTCTTTTTGTTTTTCCGGTTGGGCGTTTTTTGCTTCTTCGTGTTTCAAATCTTTGACATGATTCTTGTGATCCTCTAGTCTGCTGTTGGAACTCTGTATAATATTCTTTATTTCAGTCAGTGTATGCTTAATTTCTAGTTGGTCCTTGTTCATATCCTCGAGGGTCTCACTAAATTTATCAGCAGTTTCTAGAAAATTCTTGAAAAACCTTAAAAGTGTGGTTTTGAACTCTATATCCAGTAGTTTGCTTTCCTCCATTTCTGTCATTTGTGACCTGTTTCTTTGTCTCCACATTTTGGCTGCTTCCCTGTGTTGGTAGAGTGGCTTTGTGTGCTAGGTGTCCTATAGGGCCCAGTGGCTCAGCCTCCCCAATTACCTGAGGTGGACACTCTTGGTGCACCCCTTTTTGGCTTTGTGCACAGTCTTGTTGTAGTTAAACCTTGATTGTTGTAGGTATCACTGGGAGGAATTGACCTCCAGGCCAGTTGGAGGTCAATTGGAGGTCAGCTGTGTCTACAGTGGGAGAACTTCTGTGCTGGAGACACCCTTAGGGGCAAGACTTGCTTCAGTGGGGCTTTGGTGCTCACTGAGTTTGCCCCATGAATGTGTCCCTTATGGATCTGAGGAGTTGTAATCTGGATGATCCCACTCTGACCACTGGGTACACTGGCTCTTGGATCTTTAAGGAGGTGCTAATTTAGCCTCTGCCTGAGGCTACCCAGCAGGAGCTGTGGAGAGATCTGCAGATTCCTCTTCTTTGTTTGGGGTTTGATGATACCCAGATGAGGCCCAGCTGTGAAGCAATGCAAGCTGCTGTGGGGCCTTGGGCCTTCTTTTTGGATGTTCTGGGTCTGTCTGACCCAGCTGCAGTTTGTTAGGTAATTTTAGATTGCAAAGGGCCAGGGCATTCATATGCAAAAGCCTCTGCGCACAGCTTGGGTGGGGCGGGGTCTCAGGGAATCAAAGGGCGGAGCAAACAGCTATGGCTGATCCTCAGTCCTGCCCTAAGGGGCCCTAAGGGGTCTCAGTGTCCCATGGTAATTGCTGCAAACACCTCTGAGAGAAAGCCGCCCTCGAGTTCTGCCCACTGCCAGACAGTCCAGTTTCTCCCCATATGAGTCCTGGGTCCCCAGAGACTCACCCGGAACTGGAGTTCAGAGCAGTCGGGAGCTTGTGACTCCCTCCCAATTGAAAAAGACAGCCGCGTCCTCAGCTGCCAGCCCCTTTCCGCGTGTGCCTCTGTACCTCTGCACTTTACTTCCACACCGCACCTCCTGAGTCTCCGTGTGCTTTTCTCTTTCCTTCTAGTTGTAGAATTTCCACTCAGCCAACCTTCCTGTGGTTCTGGGTGATGTCCATTTTGTCTTTTAGTTGTTTTTTTGAAGTGGTTGTGCGAGGCGGCAATTTCTGGTCTTTACCTATGCCGCCATCTTGGTTTCTCTCACTTCCTCTTTTAAGGATACAGGTGACAGAAAGCTTGTCCCTGGCTATTAGTCATATGGCAGTGAGTCTAAAATGTGATCAGTGGTACATTCTGTTTCTACATTTTGAATATGTACATTATTGAGAATTAAATGGTTTTATCTGTATAAAATTTGGTGTCTATGAACCTCGAGTATGTTGTAGAAATAGAAATATATTACCTACTTCAGAGAGCAGCATTATCTAAATATGTAAAGATTTGTCCTTGTCAAATATTTGGCTCTGTATGTATGTCATCTTTCCCTCAAGACTTTATGTAACAGAAACTGTTTACTAATCATCACATTAGAGGATTTAAAAAGTGAGCTTACCTTTACTTTTTATATTTTGCAGGAGACCCGTGTACAGTATCATCTCAGTTGGAGTTGGAAGAAGCCTTTAGGCTTTATGAGCTAAACAAGGATTCTGAACTCTTGATTCATGGTAAAGGGGCATCATTTCTTATTCTTCTAGAGCAATATTAAAAGAAAAAAATCACCAAGCCTATATTCTTGACCAAATTAAAACATAATACTGATGCCAGTTTCTTAATCTCTATTGCTCATCCTATTTAAAAAAGGGTAATATGCAAATTGACCCTAACAGCAGAACAACTGGGAATAACTGGCCACTATGACACACACTGAACACCAGGGGGCAGACGCTCAATGCAGCAGCTGCCCCATGGTGGTCAGTGCGCTCCCACAGGGAGAGCTCTGCTCAGCCACAATCCAGGCTGCCAGCTGCCAGCACAGCAGTGGTGTCGGGAGCCTCTCCCACCTCCTCAGCAGTGCTAAGGATGTCTGACTGCAGCTTAGGCCTGCTCCCCGCTGGCAAGTGGACATGCCCTGAAGGCTCCTGGGCTGCCAGAGGATGTCTGTCTGCCAGCTTAGGCCCGATCCCCTGGGGATCAGGCTGGGATGAGGGACACCCCCTGAGTGCACAGATTTTTGTGCACCAGGCCTCTAGACATTATATAATTTCTTATTCAGTAGTTTCTCAATTGCTAGAGAAGACAAGATCAATCAGCTTCTTTAATCTTGAGAAATTTGTTATTTGTGTATGCCTCCTTGGATATTAAAACTCAGTGTTTCACAGCAAAGTTTAGTGCCGGAAGCCGATCCACCCTTGCTGCTTGACACAGTTGCTGCAGGGAAGAAACATCTGCACAGCATATGTTTCAAGGGACCTGGCATATATGGCATATGTTTGCTCCCCCTCTTAGCGCTATGTGTTTTAAACAGGACCACCTCCCCAAGAAAGGTTGTTTCCCCAGGTGAGGATTTTTTCTCTGGAGTTAGGGATTAACAGGACTAAGGAAGAGAATAAATCAGTGAAACCCCTTAGTGTTACAGAAATACCATGTACTACTTATGAAGAACTTGGACTAAGACTGTTGGCAATAAATTTGGGACTTGTTGGGCCCACATCCCCAGGGGTCTGCCCACCAGCGAAAGCACCAAAGCCTATACCCCTGGAGACTCACCGACACAAGGCAGTTCCAGGGAAGGCAAGCAGCGAGGCTGGGAGGACATAACCTTTACTGGGTAGGAAAATCTCCTTCAGTTACTTCCTTGTAGCTTATCAGTAGAGCAGTGACCTTGGAATAGCCCTTATAATGGAACACAGAGATTAAACTAGACAGGATTAAACTCAACAGAATAGATTAACAAACACCCTAACCTTTGGAATAGAATGGATAGGATTAAAATCAACTGGTATAAATACAGATGTAACAAGAGAATAAAAACAGAACCTGGCTAGAGAACTTCGCAATGCTGATCAACTGAACGCTGTCTCCATGTCCTTCATTCTTCACCGACTCCGTACACACCTTTGGGAACCCCTCAATCTGCTGGGGCTGGACCCCAACAGTTTAGCATAGAATTTGCAGTTTTTAATTTATGTATACAGTTATCTCTAAAGGTAAGGTGTCTTCAATGTCCTTTCTTTTGTTTATGGATTAACAATGAGACTATTTACAGTTATTACATAATTCAAAGTCAGTAAGCCCGAGAGGTGGGTAGTGGTATAGAAGAAGCCTAAACTCAGCCAGCATGTAACTGGTACAATATAGACTTGCCTGGGTTGTAAATCTAGGTATTCTGATTCCAGATCTGTATTCTTTATTTTTTTAAAAAAATGTATTTTTATTGAGAGAGAGGAAGGGAGTGACACGGGATAGAGAGATAGAAACATCTATGAGAGAGGAACATCATTGATTGGCTGCCATGCGGGGATTGAGCCCCCAACCTGGGCATGTGCCCTGACCGGGAATTGAACCAGTGACCTCTTGGTTCCTGGGTTGATGCTCAACTGCTGAGCCACACTGGCCGGGCCAGATTTGTGTTCTTTTCATTCTCCCATGCTACCTCTCAATTTTTTTATCTCATGTAGAAACCACTTAATGTATTGCATTTAATTGCAATACATTGGCAGTTTTTTATGGAACATTTTGGGGAGCTTTAGGAGACCTAGGAAACTCTTTAAAACTTGAAGCAGATATAAATCTCCCCTAAGTATAATGAATCATTTCAGTTCTTTGTTGTAATTCCATTATACTTTTCTATACAGTATGTTTTTTGACAAATAGTAGTTTGACTTTTTTCTACCATTAGAATTTGACATAGTGACTCCCAAAGGCTACATAATCTAATTTGTGGAGATCCTTGCAGAACTTTATAAGTCTTCTGTTTTGAGAGTCATCTCTTTTTAGAATGAAACTACAATGAATGTTTAAAGAAATGATTGGTCAATAGTATTAAACAGTTTATTTTAAGTTTTAATACTGTATTACAGATCTATTTTCAGAAATTAGTTTATATTTCAACTTTTAAAAATATATAAGGAACTGCCCTTCTCATACTCTGTGCTCTTTATTAAACCTACTAGAGGCCCAGTGCACGGATTTGTGCACCAGTGAGGTCCCTCAGCCTGGCCAGGGAGGGACCACAGGAGGGCTCCAGGATGTGTCTGGCCCGTCTTGCCCAGTCCCGATCAGCCAGACCCCAGCAGCAAGCTAACCTACTGGTCAGAACATCTGCCCCCTGGTGGTCAGTGCACATCATAGCGAATGGTTGAATGGTCAAACGGTCAGACACTTAGCACATTAGGCTTTTATATATATAGACTAGAGGCCTGGTGCATGAAATTCGTGCACGGGGGGTGTCCCTCAGCTCAGCCTGCGCCCTCTCACAGTCAGGGGATGTTTTTCCGCAGGCTTAAAACAAGCTGGCAGTCGAACATCCCTCTTGCAGTCTGGGACCCCTCACTCCTTACTGCCCGCCTGCTTGCTCCTTACCACTCAGCCTGCTGCTCCTTAGTGCTGCTGCAGAGGCGGAAGAGGCTCCCGCCACCACTGCTGCACTCGCCAGCCGTGAGCCCGGCTTCTGGCTGAGTGGCGCTCCCCCTGTTGGGAGTGCACTGACCACCAGGGGGCAGCTCCTGCATTGAGCGTCTGCCCCCTGGTGGTCATTGTGCATCATAGTGACTAGTCGTTCCAGTTGTCCTGCCGTAACAGCCGCTTAGGCTTTTATTATATAGCTGGAACTACCTGACAGCCAATGTGCCCCCCTGAGGGGTCCTGGATTGTGAGAGGGCGCAACCTAGGCTGCGAGACCCCACTGGTGCCTGATCGGGGCCAGTGAGGGACACGGGAGGGCTTCAGGGAGTGTCCGGCCCATCTCGCTCAGTCCCGATTGGCCAGACCCCAGCCGCAAGCTAACCTACCAGTCAGAGTGTCTGCCCCCTGGTGGTCAGTGCACATCATAGCGACTGGTCGACCAGTCAACTGTCTGCCCCCTGATGCTCAGTGCATGTCATAGTGACTGGTCGACTGGTCGACTATCTGCCTCCTGGTGGTCAGTGCATGTCATAGCGAGCAGTTGAGTGTCCTTAGCATGTCATTAGCATATTCCACTTTGATTGGTTGAACGGACGACTGGACACATAGCATATTAGGCTTTTATTATATAGGATTCTTTTGTACATCACAGACCACAAATAGTTGATTAAATGTTCATGTAATATTTCTTATAATTTATCTCTATAAAAAATGATCTGAGTTAGCTTGTTTGTAAATACATGGTTTCTAACATAAAACTTACATTTTTGGCCGAAACCGGTTTGGCTCAGTGGATAGAGCGTCGGCCTGCGGACTGAAGGGTCCCGGGTTCGATTCCGGTCAAGGGCATGTACCTGGGTTGCGGGCACATCCCCAGTGGGGGGTGTGCAGGAGGCAGCTGATCGATGTTTCTCTCTCATCGATGTTTCTAGCTCTCTATCTCTCTCCCTTCCTCTCTATAAAAAATCAATAAAATATATTTAAAAAAAAAAAAACTTACATTTTTGAATTTGGGTACTGTTTCTGGTGTTAATTTATTCCTAACTTTAGTATACATCTTTTAAAAACTGTAATGGTTTATGTTCATATTTGTATACATTTTTTTATTTCTTTTTTTAAACTTTTATTAGATCTTTATTGTTCAGATTATTACAGTTGTTCCTCTTTTTTCCCCCCATAGCTTCCCTCCACTCGGTTCCCACCCCACCCTCTGCCCTTACCCCCCCCATCCTCATCCATAGGTGTACGAATTTTGTTCAGTCTCTTCCCGCACCCCCACACCCTTTCCCCCGCCCCGAGAATACTCAGTCTACTCCCTTTCTATGCCCCTGATTCTATTATATTCACCAGTTTATTCTGTTCATTCGATTATTTATTCACTTGATTTTTAGATTCACTTGTTAATAGATGTGTATTTGTTGTTCATAGTTTGTATCTTTACCATTTTCTTCTTCCTCTTCTTAAAGGATACCTTTCAGCATTTCATATAATACTGGTTTAGTGGTGATGAACTCCTTTAGCTTTTTCTTATCTGTGAAGCTCTTTATCTGACCTTCAATTCTGAATGACAGCTTTTCTGGATAAAGTAATCTTGGTTGTAGGTTCTTGGTATTCATCACTTTGAATATTCCTTGCGACTCCCTCCTGGCCTGCATAGTTTCTGTTGAGAAATCAGCTGACAGTCCTATGGGCACGCCCATGTAGGTAACTAACTGTTTTTCTCTCGCTGCTTTTAAGATTCTCTCTTTGTCTTTTGCCCTTGGCATTTTAATTATGATGTGTCTCGGTGTGGTCCTCTTTGGATTCCTTTTGTTTGGGGTTCTCTGCGCTTCCTGGACTTGTAGGTCTATGTCTTTCACCAGGTAGGGGAAGTTTTCTGTCATTATTTCTTCAAATAGGTTTTCAGTATCTTGCTCTCTCTCTTCTTCTGGCACCCCTATAATTCGGATGTTGGTAGGCTTGAAGTTGTCCTTACACTGAGGCTCCTTACACTGCCTTCATATTTTTGGATTCTTTTTTCTTTTTGTTTTTCCGGTTGGGCGTTTTTTGCTTCTTCGTGTTTCAAATCTTTGACATGATTCTTGTGATCCTCTAGTCTGCTGTTGGAACTCTGTATAATATTCTTTATTTCAGTCAGTGTATGCTTAATTTCTAGTTGGTCCTTGTTCATATCCTCGAGGGTCTCACTAAATTTATCAGCAGTTTCTAGAAAATTCTTGAAAAACCTTAAAAGTGTGGTTTTGAACTCTATATCCAGTAGTTTGCTTTCCTCCATTTCTGTCATTTGTGACCTGTTTCTTTGTCTCCACATTTTGGCTGCTTCCCTGTGTTGGTAGAGTGGCTTTGTGTGCTAGGTGTCCTATAGGGCCCAGTGGCTCAGCCTCCCCAATTACCTGAGGTGGACACTCTTGGTGCACCCCTTTTTGGCTTTGTGCACAGTCTTGTTGTAGTTAAACCTTGATTGTTGTAGGTATCACTGGGAGGAATTGACCTCCAGGCCAGTTGGAGGTCAATTGGAGGTCAGCTGTGTCTACAGTGGGAGAACTTCTGTGCTGGAGACACCCTTAGGGGCAAGACTTGCTTCAGTGGGGCTTTGGTGCTCACTGAGTTTGCCCCATGAATGTGTCCCTTATGGATCTGAGGAGTTGTAATCTGGATGATCCCACTCTGACCACTGGGTACACTGGCTCTTGGATCTTTAAGGAGGTGCTAATTTAGCCTCTGCCTGAGGCTACCCAGCAGGAGCTATGGAGAGATCTGCAGATTCCTCTTCTTTGTTTGGGGTTTGATGATACCCAGATGAGGCCCAGCTGTGAAGCAATGCAAGCTGCTGTGGGGCCTTGGGCCTTCTTTTTGGATGTTCTGGGTCTGTCTGACCCAGCTGCAGTTTGTTAGGTAATTTTAGATTGCAAAGGGCCAGGGCATTCATATGCAAAAGCCTCTGCGCACAGCTTGGGTGGGGCGGGGTCTCAGGGAATCAAAGGGCGGAGCAAACAGCTATGGCTGATCCTCAGCCCTACCCTAAGAGGCCCGGGGTCTCACCTCTGAGAGAAAGCTGCCCTTGAGTTCTGCCCACTGCCAGACAGTCCAGTGTCTCCCCGTATGAGTCTCGGTCCCCAGAGACTCACCTGGAACTGGAGTTCAGAGCAGTCGGGAGCTTGTGACTCCCTCCCGATTGAAAAAGACAGCCGTGTCCTCTGTTGCCAGCCCTTGCCTTGCCGCGTGCGCCTCCGTACCTCTACACTTTACTTCCGCACCTCCTCTGAGTCTCCCTGTGCTTTTCTCTTTCCTTCTAGTTGTAGAATTTCCACTCAGCCAGCCTTCCTGTGGTTCTGGGTGATGTCCATTTTGTCTTTTAGTTGTATTTTTGAAGTGGTTGTGTGAGTCAGCAATTTCCGGTGTTTACCTATGCTGCCATCTTGGTTCTCTCTTCTGTATACATTTTTATCATTTAATTCTTCATTGTAGTAAACTTGTCACTACAATAAGGATTTAAAGCAGCAGTTCTCAACCTGTGGGTCGCGACCCCTGAAAATACATCCTGCATATCAGATATTTACATTACGATTCATAACAGTAGCAAAATTACAGTTATGAGGTAACAATTAAAATAATTTTATGGTTGGAGGTCACCACAACATGAGGAACTGTATTGAAAGGTTGCAGCATTAGGAAGGTTAAGAACCACTGAAAAGGAATAGTAGTTAATTTATCTAAAGCCAAAAAAAAATAAAATCATTGATATAACAAGGACTGGAATGAATAATTTGAGCTTCTAATGCATTATTTATGGATGGTCACTTTCATTGAAACTATTTTTAGATACCCTTGGTAAAGTAGATCTCTTTAAACAAATAATGCTGACTATATGCTAAGTATCAAGAGAGGGTCAGGTTGAAATTTGGGTCAGTTTTTTTGATATCTGAATTTAAAATTCTATGTAATTTGTATGTTTTAAATTTGTTGTATTATTTTTTCCAGTATTTCCTTGTGTACCAGAACGTCCTGGAATGCCCTGTCCAGGAGAAGATAGTGAGTGTTTATATACTTCATACCATTGAATAAGGTTTTTTATGACACAGTGGCACAAGTGAAAGGAAATCAGAAATAGAACTTTTAATTCCTTTGGTTTCTTTTCCATTCTTTAGTCTAATTTAGAGTATATTAGGAACTGCCTAAATTCTGCTTTGCCATAGCAAAATTAGGCAGTTCTTAGTTATAACTTACTGACATATTTATCTATTCTGCATTTGAAAGGAAAGTTAAATCATATTTCTTCTGGATTTTTAATTTTGGAAAATTTCAAACTTATGGAGAAGTTGAAACAACATTGAAAACAAAGGTACCCATATATCCTTTGCCTAGATTCACCAATTTTTAACATTATCTGTGTTTGCTCTACCTCTCTATCTGTATGTGTGCACACATATGCATACATGTACATACATAGGAAACACTTGTTTTATTTTTACTTATATTTGCTGTACTATTTGAGAGTAAGTAATGGACATAACACTTCACCTCTAAGCACTTCAGCATGCATCCTTAGGCGTTGTTACAGGATTTTCTTTTGAATGTCTAAGCTAGTGATGGCTATTAATGAATGAATTGAAAGAGTCAAACAGCTATTTGTCCTGATGTAATTTGAATATGCAAACTATATATGAGCATAATTTATTGCTTTTGCTATATGGTATAATTTATTAGTTGTGGATATCAGGCAACTCATTTTCATTTGTGGTTTCTACACATATCCATGACTTTAGAAGGAATTGTGGTAAATATTTTGTTTTTAATTAAATGAAGTAGTTCTAACTTTAAAAAAAATTTCAAATTTTTTAATTAATTTATTTATTTTTTTGTAGAGAGAAGGACGGGGAGAAAGGAGAGGGAGAGAGAGTAATAGCAATGTGAGAGAGAAAAACTGATCTGTTGCTTCCCACTTGCACCCCAATTGGGGATTGAATCCACAGTCTGGTACCCTGAATGGGAATCGAACTTGCCACCTTTTGGTGTACAGGACAACACTCCAACCACTGGGTCACACAGGCCAGGGTTGTAGTTATAACTTTTAATTCTATGACTCTCCATGCAACTTGGTAAGAAAAAAAAAATTAAAGAACTGTGGGTGTTCGTATATAAAGTTAAATGGAGCCATGTACTATGTAGGAAAGTGGTGAACTATAAGAAATAGAACTCTGAGCAGTAGTGAAAAATGTAGGTTTGGATTCAGCTAGGAATAGTTCTCTGGACTTACCAGGGGCAGGTGGATTAAAGCCGGCGTCGGCTGCCTTCACAGAGCAAGTGGCTGTTCTCTCTGGCCAAACCCGGGTTTTAAAAGACTTGCCATGTGGCAGATCTTGGTTCTAGAGCTCCATCTGCCATTGTATTATGGGTCTGCAGCATACAGATAAAATATTTCCTAACTTTTTCACTATATTTCATGCTCACTTTCCCCCTTTAAAATTTGCTGGTGGAGATTTTGATACTACCCCTTCTATAGTATAATAAATATTAACAAACTAGAGCAGGGGGGAAATTGATAACCATTAATGTGTTCTCTTGGCTCTTAATTTCTAGCCAACATTAACATGTTTAAATTTAAGAAATATCAAGATGTAGTTCATGAAAGCTGAAATAGAATGTTCTTTCAGCTTTGGTTACTCCTAACAGAATAAATAATTAAAAATAAAACATCTAGGCGTGGCTCAGTAGTTGAGTGTCAACCTATGAACTAGGAGGTCACGGTTCGATTCCCTGCCAGGGCACATGCCTGGTTGCAGACTTGATCCCAATGTGGGATGTGCAGGAGGCAGCCTGTCAGTGATTCTCTCTCATCATTGATGTTCCTATTTCTCTCTCCCTCTTCCTTCCTCTCTGAAATCAATAAAAGTATATTTAAGTAAAAATAAAACATCTATATTTAAGGTTATATATTACACTATCTCAAGATTTCTAATTCAGAGCATTTCAATTGGTCTTTTCTATTTAAATAGTAAATCCAGTGCTACATTTGCTTTAAAATGAGTTTAGAAACCTAATGGAATCTTTCCACAGTATTAACTATTATTATGGAATATTTCTTAATGACTAATAGACAATATATATATATATATATATATACATATAATAGTGATTGACTTAAAACCAAAATTTCACAGGTAGTCTAGAATGATTTTGTGGTAGTTCTTTGTTTAGGAAAAGCATTAATTTAAAGACAATTGGATGAAAGGTTGTTGGGGAGGAGAATATTCTTGTGGTTACAAAATGTCACTTAGATATTTGTAAGACGACTTACAAAAAGGAAAATGTACCTTTACAATAAAGAGAACTAGCAACCACTGCCTTCAACAGAGTGAGCACCAGTAGTGAGAGTCCACAATTTGACATTTGTGTATTTCTTGATGTGTCACCAGTGTATTATTTTTGGCAAAATATTTATTACTGACTCTAATGAGGAAACAGATAAATCCAGAATGTAGAAGCTAAGACAACTGCCTCGACTTAAAAAACAAAAAAAATCCTCAACCTTATGGAAAACAAACAACAACGTTGAGTGTTTTAGCATACATGAAAGAGACAAAAAGGTATAGCATCCTTGCAATTATCATTTTCTAAACAGTGACAATCCAAATGCAGTGCCTGAATCTTGATTAGATCCTGAAGAGAAAAAGGAAGCTATGAATGACACATTGAGGGCAAATAGAGAAATTTGCATCTGAACTTCATATTAGGTAATATTAAATTAATGCTAATTTTCTAAGACATGGTAATGGTATTGTGCTTAAGTGGAATTAGGGGGAATGTCCTTAATCTTAGGCAATGGGAGTTTAAGGGTGAAGTTTAAAAGGATATCTGCAACTTACCTTTAAGTGATTCAGGAGGAAATGTATGTGTAAATAGAGAGGAAAGCAAGTGCTTGCTTAGGTAGTACATATACTGTGTCAAAATAAAATGTTAGTAATTGGTAAATCTTGGTGAAGGATGAAGGTGTTTATTGCAAAAACAGAAAAGTAATCATAGTTACTGAAACATTTATATTCCATGGGCTATATTTTCATCAAGTCCCTTGATGAATCCAATTTATTTTTTTCACTTTCAGGTTTTTATCGATATAAATTATTTTCTTGCTATCAATATCATGAAAAAAATAACAGACTTAATTATAATAATGATTTTTATACACACTTGCTCTTTTTTAAACTCTCAATCTCTTTTCAGAGTCCATCTACCGCAGAGGTGCACGCCGCTGGAGAAAGCTTTATTGTGCAAATGGCCACACTTTTCAAGCCAAGCGTTTCAACAGGGTAAACCTTAGTTTGTTGAATGTTGATAATTTGAGAAATCTATTTTCCCCCCTCTCTATTATGAAAGAAAGGTAGTCTTGTTATTCCCTTTAAAGGAGTAAGGTTGCCTAACATTCCCAGTTTATGCAGTACACCTGTTTTCTTGATGTAATTTTTAATAGAATCTCCTGTCACTCTTAAAAATGTTCCTGATTTGATGATTAGTTATATGGTTGCCCTAGCTATAAGAATGTTCTATTTTTTAAATTTTTTTTTCTTGCCGGAACCGGTTTGGCTCAGTGGATAGAGCGTCGGCCTGCGGACTGAAGGGTCCCAGGTTCGATTCTGGTCAAGGGCATGTACCTGGGTTGCAGGCACATCCCCAGTGGGAGATGTGCAGGAGGCAGCTGATCGATGTTTCTCTCTCATCGATGTTTCTAACTCTCTATCTCTCTCCCTTCCTCTCTGTAAAAAATCAATAAAATATATTTAAAAAAAAAAAATTTTTTTTCTTTATTGATTAAGGTATTACATATGTGTCCTTATCCAGAATGTTGTATTTTTAAATATAACTCCAGATACTCATAAAATAAACAAGTTTTATTTTGCAAATCATTTAACATTGTAATTTTAATATTCACTGTTTAGAAAATAATTGCAAACACTTCTCTAGCTTTTCCTATGTTGCAGGCACTTTTCCAAATGCTGGACATATACTAATTCACTTAATCCTCACCACAATCTTGTGAGATAGGTTCTATACATTTCCATTTCATAGATGAAGAGACTGAGGGGTGGGGCATTTAAATAACTTGCCCAAGATGAGAAAGCTAGTAAGTTGCAGAGCTGGGGTTTGAAAACATTTTATCTCCAGAAGTTCACATTTTTAACTGTTCTTGATAACTCTAAAACAATGGACTCCCGTTTCCATTTTAAAACTGGTGCCATGTTCCGAATTCATTAATGTAAATAGAAGTCACCACCCAAGGTACCACTGATAATTAAAAAGCTTTGACCCTGGCTGATCTGACTCAGTTGGTTGAGCTTTAGCCCTATGCACCAAAAGGTCGTTGGTTTGATCCTGGTCAGGGCACGTGCCCAGGTTGTGTGTTGGGGTATGTACGGGAGAAAGCTGATTGATGTTCCTCTCTCTTTTTCTCCCTCTCCCTTCCTCTCTCTCTAAAATCAATAAAAACATACTAACAACAACAACAAAAAGCTATAAAATGAAAAGTCACTTTAGGTACTGCTCTTTAAGAGAGCAGGGCTTTGGTTTGACCTCTGAACAGTCTGGAAGGTTTATTTTTGATTGAGAGTCCTTGTACTGTATTTTCTGCCGTATGTTTGCCAAGTTTACTCAATTTTCCTATTTTTATAAATCTAAACCTAATTATATGAAGACTGAAAAGTCTTGGACTTATAACAAAACAACATGTTGCAAATTTCACTCTTTAAACAGTTTTTTTTATTAGTTTTTAGAGAGAGAGGAAGGGAGAGAAAGAAAGAACCATTGATGTGAGAATGAAACATCCATCTGCTCTCTCTTGCATGCCCGCTACTGGGGAGCAAGCCCGTAGCCCAGGCATGTGCCCTCACCTGGAATCAAAAAGGCAACCCTTCAGTGCACGGGACAACACCCAACCAATTGAGCCACATGGGCCAGGGCTCACTGTCTCTTTAAAACAAACTCTCTTTTCTGTTTATTTTTCCCAGACCATCATAGCTTTGAAAAAGTTATGTATGATGAAGAGACCTGAATTAGAGAATAAAGCCACTTATTTTCACTATTTTATGAACAAACTGTTGGGGAATGATTATGACTTTTTTTTTTGCTGTTTCACTGAATTCTTTTGAATTACTCTTTCCAGCGTGCCCACTGTGCCATCTGTACTGACCGGATATGGGGACTTGGACGCCAGGGATATAAATGCATCAACTGCAAACTCTTGGTTCATAAGAAATGCCACAAACTTGTCACAGTTGAATGTGGGCGACATTCTTTACCACCGGTAAGACACAGTTGTCTTCTTTGTTTTTAATAGAGCATTTTTTATAATGTTACTAGAACAGAGGTCTAAAGTGTGTGTGTGGCGGGAGGGCGGGGGGGTGAAGGAATCACAACTCAACAGTGTTGTTATAAATGTGGGTAGGAATATTTTACAGTCAGCTCACATATTGTGAATTTGGGAATTGTCATTACAAATTTGTTTGTAGGTTATAGTTTTATGTTTAGCCTGATATAAAATCCTCTGGTCTAAAGTAGGAAGATACAGGGAGAAGCATTTAAGAGATTCTTTTCTCTCTTTTTTTTAATAATATATTTTATTGATTTTTTACAGAGAAGAAGGGAGAGGGATAGAGAGTTAGAAACATCGATGAGAGAGAAACATCAATCAGCTGCCTCCTGCACACCTCCTACTGGGGATGTGCCCGCAACCAAGGTAGATGCCCTTGACCGGAATCGAACCTGGGACCCTTGAGTTCGCAGGCCGACGCTCTATCCACTGAGCCAAACTGGTTAGGGCTCTCTTCTTTAAGCTAACCTCATTAGTTGATAGCTCCCATTACTCGAGCATGGACACTAAGCACAGATCAGGTAAGAACAGTCTTTACGTTTGCTATTTAAACTATCAGATTAATTGAGAGTTTTGCTTTTAAAATTTTTATTTTTCACTTTCTTTTGTTTCTTTGAATATATTTTTATTTATTACAGAGAGGAAGGGAGGAGAGAGAGATAGAAACATCAATGATGAGAGAGAATCATTGATCGGCTGCCTCTTACACACCCACTACTGGGGATTGAGCCTGCATCCCAGGCATGTGCCCTTGACCAGAATCAAACCCGGGACCCTTCAGTCCACAGGACGACGCTCTATCCACTGAGCCAAACTGGCTAGGGCTATTTTTCACTTTCTTTTTTAAATCATCACTTGAGGATATTTTTCCATTGATTTTAGAGAAAGTGGAAGAGATAGGGAAAGGCAGAGAAAAATACAGATGTGAGAGAAACACATCAATTGGTTGCCTCCTGCACATGCCCTGGCCAGGGAGGAACCTGTAACTGACTCAAACCTTTGATTGGAATCGAACCCGGGACTCTTTGGCGGACACTCTATCCACTGAGCCAAACCAGCTAGGGCAGTGATGGCGAACCTTTTGAGCTCGGCGTGTCAGCATTTTGAAAAACCCTAACTTAACTCTGGTGCCGTGTCACATATAGAAATTGTTTGATATTTGCAACCATAGTAAAACAAAGATTTATATTTTTGATGTTTATTTTATATATTTAAATGCCATTTAACAAAGAAAAATCAACCAAAAAAAATGAGTTCACGTGTCACCTCTGACACGCGTGTCATAGGTTCGCCATCACTGAGCTAGGGCTTCACTTTCTTTTTAAAATATGCAGTAAAAACATGTTCATTATAGAAAAAAATAGAGACTACAGATGAATAAAGAAAAATTAAATAAAAATTTCCCATGAAATCTACCATCTAAAGGTCACTTGTATATATCTTTCCATAAAGATTTATATGTATAAACATTTAAAATTTTTCCATGTAGAAAAAATTTAAACATATATTAAGAGTAGCTGGAACCATGTAATGAACTTCCATAATACCAATCACCCTGCTCCAACAGTTATTAATGCACAACCAATCTTGTTTCACCTATACCCCGGCCAGTTTAACCCTGTGTTATGTTGAAACAAATCCCAGACGTGTTTCAGAATGTACCTCTAACAATAAAGATTCTTTTTAAAAACTAAAAACCAAATTCCTTATGTCAGATATCCATCCAGGCAATGTTCACATTTTTAGTTGTCTCATAAATGTTCTGTTTTTATAATTTTCATTATGAATCAGGATCCAAATGAAGCCCATATTTGCAATTGATTGATACGTCTTCCCTATTTTTAAATATAACGATTGCTCTCTCTTCATCTCCCTCTCTCCCCTTCTGTGTGTGTTGCTCTCTCACTCTTGCTCGCTCTTTCCCCCCCTTACAATTTAAGTGTAGGAAAAACTCTATTGTCATTTAGTTTTGCTTAATTTTTCTTTTTCTTTTTTCATGGTATTGTTTAAAATATTCCTCTTTCCTCTTTATTTTCTGTATATTATAGTTGGATCTAGAGGTTTGATTAGATAGTAGGCTTGGATTTTTTTTTTGTGGGTTATTTTTGAGACGACTTTATCAAAGGTGGAGTGTTTATCCATCAGAAGGCACATAATGTTTGGATGTCTCATTCTTTTACATGCTTTTTAACAAAAGTGAAATCATATGGGTAATGTTTTCTAACCCATTTTTCTTACTGAGTAATATATTTTTGTCATCTTTCTATATTTAGCTACCTATCTCCTTATCACTTTTAGCATAATATTTTGTTATATGTCAATACCATAATTTTTTTTAACCTGTTCTTCATGATTGAACAGTGGAGTTGTTTTCTAAATGTTCCTATGAAGAAAATCATAATGAACTTACTGGTGAACAAATCTTAAGAAAAAGTATTGGGTTAAAGAATATATGTATTTAAAAAGATCTGGATGCCTCCTTCTAAATTGTCTTCTAGAACGATTATACCATGTTTACTCATAGTACCTTCTTTGAACAAAGATTATTAGCGGTGTCTCTTTGGTGTTAGAATTATGTAGCTGGTTCATATAAGCTTAGATGTGGGTTTGTACAAGTTACGGAGGTAAAAATCCAATCTTAAGGAAAAACAGAAGGCCAAAAAGTATGAACATAATTTCTCCAGGTTACTATTGATATTTGTGTGCATATTCCTAGGTGATGGATGACTTGTGTGAATTTATGAATGGAAAAAAAAACACACAAGAGGGACAGGGTTAGTGATTATATTTAGAATAGGTGCTAAATGCAGTAAGAAATTCATGAGCCCTATCTTTAAGGCAGCCTTAACATTATAAATGTATAATTAATGTTCCTTCTCAGGTTCACCTTTTCTTGCTGGTATTCATTAAATCTGGGTCCAAGATTAATGAATTAGTAACATTTTGGTTTGGATTAGTATTATCCTAGGTTATTGACAGTGGTTAAGTCAATTTCTAGGGGGTATTTCTTTTCCTTTTTTGGTTCACTGACACCTTCCCACAAAATTTTACATGGAATTTCAAGAGGTGTAAAGACATCTTGAAATCCATCTCTGGGCCTCAGCTAAAGAAGTCAAGTACTAGAGACTCCTCCCAGAGACTTAAAGTGTATATGGAGCTTGAAAGAAGATTAGGTAGTGTATAAGAGAAATCAGAATATATAGGAGAATAATTTTTATTTCTATTTGATGGCCTGAAAGTAGTTTCGTGTGTTCCTTACGTTATCTGTAAAATGTGACATTACCTCATTTACAGGAATATTATATAGTGTCAGATAGTAAAATTAAAAGCAAATTAAATATAGTAATATAGTTCTCATTATAAGTAATATTTTGTCAAATTTATGTGTTAATATGATGTGTCTCATTAAAATAATGCTCCAGAATTTATAGAGTTATTGGGATTTAAAAAGAATCCACTAAGTTGCTGTTTCTTTGGAAATGTTTCTAGGAACCAATGATGCCCATGGATCCGTCATCCATGCACTCAGACCATGCACAAACAGGTAAAAATGACACTGTCATGAATTATTGTTCATTAACAAAATATTGTTCAAAGACTTCTTTTTTTTCTTCCCATTGATTTTTCCCCCCAAAGACTTCTTTAAGTGACTCTTACACCTAAGTTTAAAAACATTTCTGTTCTACCCACATAAAAGCAAGGTAACCATATTTTATGGTGGTAATATCATCACAATATTTAACATACATTTGACATTTTAAAAAGACAAATATGTAAATTACAACAAATGACTATTTTCTCTAATTCAGGTTAATTGTGTTTAAGACCCCTTTAAATTCAGCAAACCTAGTTGTTTTTTTTTTCAATAATGAAAACATACTGATTTTGTGGGCCATGTTGACTCTGTTAAAGTGACCTGTTTTTATTAAAAGCTTTGTTATCAGAAGTAGAAAGTATGTAAAAGATATAGAGATGCAGTATAAAAATTCAAAAAAGATCATGTGAATTCAATTGTGAAGTAGATACAAACGTCAAATGTGTATCTGGGAAGTTTAAGGAGCAATTAAATGGGATAGAGAAGCCTAATAGGGGATGAATCAAAGGAGGCAAAGCAAGGACTTTTCTGAAAGGACAGAATATAGTTCATCTCTTGTTCATAGCAGAAGCTGGTTATATGAAATGCAGGCTTTTTTTTTTTTTTTTTTTTTTTTTTTTTTAAATCCAAGTGGCTTCAAGGAATAGAAGCCTAGAGTACAATCTTGTCAGTTCTTTACTTCACCTACGTGGTGGAGCAGTTAGGAGCATTTTAAGTATGAAAGAAGTGAGGAATGCAAACCAGAGCCCCCTGCTTCCATGCCTCACTCATACTAAAATAATCAAATGGGTTTAAAGAGTCACCCTTATAGAGAAATTGATTAATTTGTAAAGAAGGAAAATATTTTTAAAATAGCAAAAATATTTGGTAAAATCAGCACTTGGTTACTGATTGTTTTTTGCTCTCCTTTACCCTCATTAAAGATTAGGACTTAATTCATATTTATATACACTTTGTTATTAGTAAGACAGCTACTTAATTTTAAATGATCAAGACCAGAAAGAAAAACTAAAATAATCAAATCAAGAGAAAATTTTAAGTCAAACTGAGCTTAATGGATGCTGTTTTTCTCTTTTTTTAATGTTTGGGATTGGATTTTAGTAATTCCATATAATCCTTCAAGCCATGAGAGTTTGGACCAAGTTGGTGAAGAAAAGGAGGTAAGTTAATTAGTCTTTTTTAAAAAAATAATTATGTTTAAAAGTAGTTTTTTAAATAAAAATGTTTAAGATAGTTGTTCATGTTAGTTTATTGAAGGTTAATTAGTCTTATTGTACATTATGCCATGAGCTTTTTTTTAAAATCCTCACCGAGGATATACTTCCATTGATTTTTAGAGAGACTGGAAGGGAGGGGGAGAGACACAGAGAGAGAAACATTGATGTGAGAAAGACACACATGGATTGGTTGCCTCCCTCATGCATCTGGACCAGGCCTGGGGCTTGCACCTGCAATGGAGGTATATGCCCTAGGCTGGAAGGCATCTAGAACCCTTCAACTTGTGGGCTGATGCTCTATCCACTGAGCCAAACTGGCTGTGCCATGCCATTACCCTTTTAATATGACAATGTAAAAATATGACAAATTGGCTTGCTTAGATTTTTCTTGTTTCTGTCTTTTTTTTTTTTTAACTTGAGTTTTTTTTGGTACTTGGGTTCTGGCTAGGAAAGAATTCAGAACCAAGAAGACCCAAATTGTAAGAGAACATTTATTTGGTAAATCAAAGAGGTAGGAGAAGTAATTCCTAGAAGAAATGGACTTAGGAAACAAGTTATGGAGATAAAGGAAAGGCTGTTGGAGCTTGGGAGTGAGGAAGCTAGTGGTAACATGCCTGGAGCAGGGAGGGGGAGGGGATGGGAAAAGCGAAAGGCATGGGTGTGTTTCTGGGAGGGAGAGCCTTTTCTTGTTTCTTGAGGTAGGCTTGCGTTTCTGTGAATTTCCCCCTTAGGACTGCTTTCACTGTGTCCCATAGATTTTGGGGTTGTGTTTTCATTTCATTTGTCACAGGTATCTTTTGATTTCTTCCTTGATCTTGTTGTTAACTCATTCATTGTTTAGTCTCTATGTTTTTGTGTATTTTCCAGTTATTTTCTTGTAATTGATTTCTAGTTTCATACCACTACAGTCAGAAAAGATGCTTAAAATTATTTTAATCTTCTGAAATTTATGAAGACTTGTTTGTGACCTAATATGTGGTCTTTCCTGGGAAATGTTCTCTGAGTGCTTGAAAAGAATGTATATTCTGCTGCTTTGGGGTGAAATGTTCTAAAAATATCAATTACATCTATTTGGCCTAATATGTCATTTAAGGTTGCTATTTCCTTTTTTTTTCCCTCCTCTTTTTCCCCTCCCCTTGACCTTCCCCTAGCCTCCCATACCCCCCAGTGTCTTGTGTCCATTGGTTATGCTTATATGCATGCATACAAGTCCTTCAGTTGCTCTCTTACCCATCCCCCCAACCCTCCCTGGCCTTCCCGCTGTAATTTGACAGTCTGTTCGATGTTGCTCTGCCTCTGTATCTATTTTTGTTCATCAGTTTATAATGGTCTTAATTATCCATAAATGAGTGAGATCATGTGGTATTTTTCTTTCATTGACTGGCTTATTTCATGCTATTTCCTTCTTAATTTTGTCTGGGTGATCTATCCATATTTGCCAGTTGGGTGTTAAAGTCCCCAATAATTGCTGTCGATCTGACCCTATACTTCCATCAATATTTGCTTTATGAATGTAGGTGCCCCTAATTGGGTGTGTAAATGTTTACAGGGTGATATCTTCTTGCTGGTTTGATCTCTTTACTATTATGTATTGTCCTTCTTTGTCTCTTAGAGCCTTTGTTTTAAAGTCTATTTTGTGTAATAGAAGTATTGCTACCCCAGCTTTTTTGTTTATTTCCATTTCCATGAAATATCTTTGTCCATCTCTTTATATTCTGTGTGTGCCTTTTGATCTGAAATGAGTCTCTTGTAGACAGCATATGTATGGGTATTGTTTCTGATCAATTCAGCCACCCTGTATCCTTTGATTGGAGCATTTAATCCATTTACACTTAAAGTGATTGTTGATAGGTATATAGTTATTGTCATTTTGTTATTCATATTTGTTTTTCTTTTTTTCTTAAAGAAGTCCCTTTAACATTTCTTGAAATACTGGTTTGGTGATGATGAATTCCTTTAGCTTTTTCTTATCTGGGAAGCTCATCATCTCTCCTTTGATTTTTAAATGATAGCTGTGCTGGGTAGAGTAATTTTGATTGTAGGTCATTGTTTTTCATTGCTTTGAATATTTTATGCCAATTCCCTCTGACCTATAAAGTTTTTGTTGAGAAATCAGCTGACAGTCTATGGGAGCGTCCTTGTAGGTAACTAACTGTTTTTCTCTTGCTGCTTTTAATAGTTTCTCTTTGTCTTCAGTCTTTGGCGTTTTAATTATAATGTGTCTTGTTGTAGGCCTTTTGAGGTTCGTCTTGTTTGGGACTCTGTGCCTCCTGGACTTGTGTATCCATTTCTTTCACCATGTTAAGGAAGTTTCCAATCATTATTTTATCAAATCAGTTTTCAATCCTTGCTCTCTCTCTTCTCATTCTGGTTACCCCATGATGCAAATGTTGGTATACTTGATGTTCCAGGGGTCTCTTAAACTGTCCTCATTTTAAAAAATTCTTTTCCTCTTTTTCCCGTTCTGATTGGGTGTTTTCCACTGATTTGTCTTCCAAGTCACTGATTTGATCTTCTGCTTTATCTAACCTACTGTTGATTCTTCTAGCCTATTCTTTATTTCAGGTATTGGATTCTTCATTTATGATTATTTTTTTTAGGGTACCCATGTCCTTTTTTATGTTTACTCTCTCTTTGTTGAAGTTCTCACTTAGTTTATCTATTCTTCCTCTAAGTTCATTGAACTCTGTACCTGGTAGATTTCTTGCCTCCATTTGATTTAGCTATTTTTCTGGCATTTTCTCCTGTACTTTCATTCGGGGTATGTTTTTTTGTCTCCTCATTTTGGCTACCTCTTTGTGTTTAGTTTTGGGTACTGGGTGGGTCAGCCTTGCCGTCCAGACTTGGCAGGATAGCCTTCTGTAGTAGGTGTCCTGTGGGGCACAGTGATAATCTTCCTGGCCACCTGAGTTGGACACTCCAGGATATCCCTTGTGTGGATGGTCGTGCCTTCCCATTGTAGTTGAGCCTGGATTGCTGTTTGTTTGTCAGTGGGTATGGCTGACCCTCAGGCTGAGTGGCTGTGAGGAATGGCCACAACCACAGTGATATTCACCCCAGCAGGGCTGGGGTGCCTGCTGAGACCATGCTTGGTATGTGCCATTTTTGGAACTAATTGGTTGGTGCTCTGTTGTGGTCTTAGGCTGCCAGCGGGCGTGTTGGTTCTGGAGCCTGTTGTAAGGAGCTTTGGTGCAGGCGGAGGTCATCTGCTACCTATGCCCAGCCCAGGGACACCTGGTAGAGCTACAGAGTGATCTGAGGTTGGCAGCTATGTGTGCTGGGCCCAGAGGTCTATGGAAGCGGGCAAGGTGTAACCTGAGGTTGGCTACCAAGGCACAGGGCATACCAAGGGTAACCACCATCTGCCTGGGGCCCACAGACCTTGGGGGATTTTTTAAGAACGCTCTTGGTGGGAGCTGAGGTTGCCTATGAGGCACAGCCACTGAGAGAGCCAAGGCAGTGTGTGAGTTGGGTGGAGTGGGGTCTTAGGGTGTCACCACCGTGGGGCAAGCATTCTTCACCGGGTTAATGCAGATTCAGATTTGGTGCCCACCTACCTCTAAAGCAGTGGTTCTCAACCGTCTGGCCCTTTAAATACAGTTCCTCATTGTTGTGACCCAACCATAAAATTATTTTCGTTGCTACTTCATAACTGTAATGTTGCTACTGTTATGAATCATAATGTAAATATCTGATATGCAGGATGGTCTTAGGCGACCTCTGTGAAAGGGTCGTTCGACTGCCAAAGGGGTCGCGACCCACAGGTTGAGAACCGCTGCTCTAAAGGCTGTGTTAGGGGAGGGTTCAGCACAGGGACGTGGTGGCCCTCACCCCAAAGCCATACAATTCACTTTCTCCCCGTATGGTATGTCTTGTGGCGTGTGAGCTGCTAGCCCTTTGTGGAAGCTCAGGGTGACTGCCTGTGAGCGATTGAGTCTCTGTGCGGGCCCTTTAAGAGGACTGCTGGGCTTTGAGCAGCCTTCTGTCTGACCTGGAAGGAATCCCCTCAGAGCTGGGTGGGTCGGGATCTCAGTGAGTCACCAGGAATAGGTGAGTGGTGTTTACCTGTTTAATGCAGATTCAGATTTGGCACTTGCCTGCCCCTGGAGGTTCTGTGAGGGGGGCTCAGTGGGGCTTTCGCCTTGAAGACACACAACTCAGTCTTTCCCAGAATGTCTCTGGTGCCTTTCGAGCTGCTTACCCTTTGCTGGAGCTCAGGGTGAGTGCCTGTGAGCGAGTGAGTCTGTGCACGGGCCCTTTAAGAGGACACCTGGGTTTCCAGTTGCCCTCCATCTCACTCTGCTGGGACGGAATTGCTGCTGGTTTCACATCCAGCTGTTGCAGGGACTACTCTTCCTGGCACTGGATTCCTGGGATAGGAGCTGGTGTGGGGCTGGGGCCCCTCGCTCCTAAGAGGGATGGACCTCTGCTGCTAGGCTGTCCCTCCTGACTCTCAGCTGCCACATGTGGGTGTGGGGCCAGCCTGTTTCGAGTCTCTGCCCTTCCTACAGGTCTTGATGTGGCCTCTTCTTTATGTCCTTAGTCAGAGCAGCTCCGTTCAGCTAGTCTTCAGGTGGTTCTCCAGGTGGATTGTCCTATTTTTTAGTTGTAATTTTGATGTGGGAGGAGGTGAGCACAGTGCTTAACTACTCCGCCATCCTGACCAGAATCCATTTGACATTGTTTTGCTAGTCTGTTACTGGTTGTTCCAGGGCAGGGGTCCTCAAACTTTGGCCCGCGGGCCACATGCAAATACAAATATTGTATTTGTTCCCGTTTTGTTTTTTACTTCAAAATAAGGTATGTGCAGTGTGCATAGGAATTTGTTCATAGTTTTTTTTTTAAACTATAGTCCGGCCCTCCAACGGTCTGAGGGACGTTGAACTGGCCCCCTGTTTAATAAGTTTGAGGACCCCTGTTTTAGGGATTGCATCTACATCCTTAATTTATTTAAATTCAATAACAATTACTAATTATACTTTTCCCATTTCCCATCATATACAAGGACCTTAAAATACATTAAATTTACTTACCCTCCCTTTCTGCCTTTGGTGCTATTTTTGTCACATTTAAAAATGTGTGTGTGTGTGCGTGTGCATGTGCAGTCAATCCTTATTTAAGTTTAATCTATATTTTATTCTTTTTTTCTACATTTCTTCCTGCATGTCTTCCCTCCCATCTGAGATCATCTTTCTTGAAGAATTCAGTGTTTCCTTTAGAGAGAGCTGACTAGTGATGGGTAGATATCCTTAGTTAATGTTCATCTGAAAAGGTTTTTATTTCATTTCTTTTTTAAAAAAATATATTTTGATTTTTTTACAGAGAGGAAGGGAGAGGGACAGAGAGTCAGAAACATCGATGAGAGAGAAACAGCGATCAGCTGCCTCCTGCACACTCCCCACTGGGGATGTGCCCGCAACCAAGGTACATGCCCTTGACTGGAATCGAACCTGAGACCCTTCAGTCCGCAGGCCGACGTTCTATCCACTGAGCCAAACTGGTTGGGGCTTCACTTCTTTTTTGAAGGCATTTTTGCAGAATATAAAGTCGTAGGTTAGCAGGAGTTGGGGTTACGCCAGGAGTGGGCAAACTTTTTGACTCGGCCACAATGGGTTCTTAAACTGGACCGGAGGGCCGGAACAAAAGCATGGATGGAGTGTTTGTGTGAACTAATACAAATTCAAAGTAAACATCATTACATAAAAGGGTACGGTCTTTTTATTCAATAGTTTTATTCATTTCAAACGGGCCGGATCCGCCCGCGGGCCGTAGTTTGCCCACGGCTGGGTTAGGCCCTTTGAAGGTAATGTTCTTGTGTTCTGGCTTCTGTAGCTTCACTCGGTCTTCCCAGTTAGTGCTTATGTCCATTTGACTCTCTTTTATAGTTTACTGTCAGCCATATGAAGTCTGTACATTGCTTTGCTTCTAACTATTCTCTGCTTTCTTAATCTGACCTAATCTGGTTTTTCTTTACTCCTCTTTACTTATTCATTTTACCAATTCAGATTATTCTAAATTTTGATGTGTGATCCTTCTTTTTAATCTTTTTAAAAAGTTTTCATTACATACATGCACACACGCACACACACGCACACACGCAGTGCTTACTTGTTTATCTTTTTTTTTTTTTTTTAAATATATTTTTATTGATTTTTTACAGAGAGAAAGGGAGAGAGATAGAGAGTTAGAAACATCAATGAGAGAGAAACATCGATCAGCTGCTTCCTGCACATCTCCCACTGGGGATATGCCCACAATCCAGGTACATGCCCTTGACCGGAATCGAACCTGGGACCCTTCAGTCTGCAGGCCGACGCTCTATCCACTGAGCCAAACCGGTTTCGGCTATCTTTCTTAAACTTCACTATTTGCTCTTCTTGATTCTCTTCACTTCAGAAAATTCATACTTAATTCTCAAGGGTACATCTCTTGATTGTATACTGAGAATTTTACAGCTATATAATAAAAGATCATCTTCAGTCTTCTCTATAGATGACCAGAAGTATGTTTCTAGTTGTGAATGAATTGTAAGGCTCTTATTGTCATGCCAAGGGAGCCTTGGTGTAGTGTAGAAAAGAAGGTTTTCTAGTAGCTGAACTGCCTCATGCTTGTTTTCTGCTTATAGTTCCCAGTGTTTCTGAATGTGTCCTTTCATTAGCTCAGATGTCATATATCAGACTTCCAGCAGACTTGTTCATCTTGCTGTCCCATTGTAACTTCTAACTACAAAATGAAAACCCAAGCTCATTATCTTATTTCATGCTCACACTTACGTTTTCTGTCAGTGTACCTCCACTCTCCCAGTCACCAAGGTTAGTGTCATTTTTATTCCTGCATCTCCATTATATCCCAAAGTTTTACCAGAGCCTTTTTAAAAAATTGATTTCAGAGAGGAAGAGAGAGATAGAAATATCACTGATGAGAGAGAATCATTGATTGGATGCCTCCCACACCCCCTCCCACCCCCCACTGGGGATCCAGCCCATAACTTGGGTATGTGCCCTTGACTGGAATCGAACCCCGGACCCCCCCAGTCCACAGGCCGACACCCTATTCACTGAGCCAAACCAGCTAGGGCTTACCAGATCCTTTTAAAGACATCCTTTAGCATTTCTCAGGTTTCAACTCCCTCTCTGTTGTTGTCACCACCCCTCTGACCTCAACTCGTGAATTTGCCCCACTTCTTGAGTAGTTAGATTGCATCGTTTGGAATGATGTTAGAAAAGAATTGTTAAGAACTTAAATAAGAAAATATTTTAAAAATAGTCATAGGTATAACTAGGTGTTAGAAATATCATATTTATGCAAAATGCTTCCAGTTATAACTCTTTTTTAGTTGTTTCCTCATGCAAGGATATTTTTTCTATTTATTTTTTTTTTAGAGAGAGTGGAAGTGGGGTGGTGGGGAGTGAGAAACATCAATTGGTTGCCTCAGCCATGGATGATATTTTATTTTGTGAATACATACCCAGTATTTATTTCTGATTTGTTCAGTGGGACATGGGGAAAGTAGCCAGTTTATTGTATTAAAGTTCCATATTAGAAACATCAACTGGTTCCAACATCAATTGGTTGCCTCACACATGTGCCCTCACTGGGGCCCGGGTATCAAGCCTGCAACCAAGGTACCTGCCCTTAACTGGAATTGAACCCATGACTCCTCAGGCCGATGCTGTAACCACTAAGCCCCTGCTAGGGCCAGTTATAACTGATATAAATGTTCTCAACAGGCAATGAACACCAGGGAAAGTGGCAAAGCATCATCCAGTCTAGGTCTTCAGGATTTTGATTTACTCCGGGTAATAGGAAGAGGAAGTTATGCCAAAGTACTGTTGGTGCGATTAAAAAAAACAGATCGTATCTATGCAATGAAAGTTGTGAAAAAAGAGCTTGTCAATGATGATGAGGTAAGCACAATGTTTTATTACTTCTAAACTGTTAAATTGACTTAACTGTACCATTTCAGAGAAAACCTCAATGTTTATGACTTATTTCAGTCTATTTTTCTAAATAATGCCTCAAATGGGTTATATAAAATATTTTTAAAGAAATCTGATGGTTATTAGGTTTTTAAAAAATAAAAATCAAACCATATTATGATCAAGGGAAAGTACTTGATTGAGCTTTGAAAAAGTTTTCTAAACCATTTCATAATATTGAAATATTTACTGGTAGTATTTTTTTTCTCTTTGCATATAAATTGTTGCATGATCATTCATTCTTTGATATTTAGCATAGTTAGTTAATAATTGCATTTGTGATCATTGAATTGCCAAGAACAAATATAGTTTGATGATATTTCAGTTTGGTAAATATTTCTTTCATATTTTAAAATAGGATATTGACTGGGTACAGACAGAGAAGCATGTTTTTGAGCAGGCATCCAATCATCCTTTTCTTGTTGGGCTGCATTCTTGCTTTCAGACAGAAAGCAGGTAAGGTTGGAAGATAATGGAGTGATTACGGGCTTTACATACTTTGCATATTACACAATAAGAACTCTTCATACTATAATTCCTGAAGCGGAAGTCATGGAGACAGACACAACAGTATGATGCTTATGATTTCCTGACACCCAAACGCTAATCAGTGGTATCTGTTTGGATTAGCATGAAGAAATTATCTGCTTAAAAAATACAGCCTGGTCAGGGCCGGGGGGCAGTGGGGTGTGTGTGAGGAATGTAGAGGGAGACAATGGGGGGAAAAAAAGGGAACATCTGTAATACTTTCAACCATAAAGATGAATTTATATATATGGTCAAAATATGGCAGTAGAGATCCATACTTTTAAATATCCCTAAGGTTTTAGCTTTAGATTTAAAGTTTCCCAGAGTTTAACTAGGGGGAGAAATCCTAACTTCTTTACCTTAAGGGACAGTTGAAGTGACTTACCACCTTAACGTTAGAATTGGGATGGGAGTGGGAGGGTCTGGATTGCAATTGGTACTACAGAAGTAGCAGGTTATAGAATTACTATCATGCTGGTTTACTTTCTTGTATCTACTGTGATTAACAGCTTTCTACTACAACCACCCTTTGTTTCCACCAAATTCCTGGGACTTTTGTACAGGGTAAATCACAGAATGCTCTTTATGTTGTGACTGGCCTCTACAATGTTTAAAATGCACAGTTACATTTCCTTCTTTTGGACTTTGGTTTCATGTGTTCTCTCCTATGTTTTAGATTGTTCTTTGTCATAGAGTATGTAAATGGAGGAGATCTAATGTTTCATATGCAGAGACAAAGAAAACTTCCTGAAGAACATGCCAGGTAAATTTCTTGATTATTGTTTGTGTTGGGATTTTGGGGAGCAGCTATGGGACTTTTATGTGCCAGTGGTTGAAAACAGTAGATAAATTAATTGATTTTGATACTAGTTAATTCTTTGTAAGTAATGGGAGCTAACCTAAAAGTTATTTTGCATTATAATATTTTACAATATATACCATTATATAGTATGTAATAATATAATTATAAGCTTTTGAAAAGTATAAACAGTATTAGAGGGGAAACCTTTAGTCAACTAAACCTAATTGCTTTAAAATATTTTAGCATCAGCCTCTGAAATAATTGAATTTACAAATACTTATTAATCTTATCAGGTTTGCAGTGATCTCTGACAGTTTTATTAGACGATTATTATTCATACTAGAGGTCCAGTGCATGGATTCGTGCACTGGTGGGGGGTTCCTCGGCCTGGCCTGTGCCCTCTTGCAATCCAGGACCCCTCAGAGGATGTTGGAGGCCTGGTGCACAGATTTGGCCCGATCCCCACAGGCCAGGCTGAGGAATCCCACAGGTGCACGAATTTGTGCACCGGGGCCTCTAGTATGCATATAAGATCTTTGGTTAGTCTCTTCCTGCCCTCCCCCCTACCTCCTTCCCTCTGAGATTCATCAGTCTGTTCCATGTTTTCATGCCTGTGCATTGAGTGTCTGCCTCCTGGTGGTCAGGGTGCGTCATAGCTACTGGTTGAACAGTCGAAAGGTCGGACACTTAGCATATTAGCCTTTTATATATATAGATATACTTGAGAGTAATAAAACAGTTCCTCTCTTAAGCTATTATACATGCCTGACTATTCTTATAATTTTTTAATTGGTCTGATGTTGGCTTTTTTCCTGTGATTCCATACATGTTGATGAATAAGAGCAAAGAGCATTAAATGTTATCTATTTAGTGCCCTTTCTTTAATATTATTATACAAGATTATAAATTGTTTCTATATTGGAAGAGTTAGGTGGGGAAGGATCATGGCTTTGGATAAAAAGTTTAGTTCAGTGCCATGGTTTGATTTTTACTCATAATTAGCAGTAATTCTCACTCTCTTGTGTTTCATAAGAATAATTTAAAAAAATGAAGCCTGTAAGTTTGTACACTTTGGTAACAAAGGTTAGAGATTTTTTTTAAAAAATAATTTATTTGGTGAAAATCTTGCTAGTTCATTAATTTTTATTTCTTGTCAAAAAGATATATCCTTCAATTTTATAAGAAGCTATAAATTATATCAACTAACCTCAGGGCCAAACTGCTCTTTCTTTTAATTACTGTATGTTTATTGTTTATTTAGGCTTTATCAAATGGTGGCCCTTCAGTAACAAAGCCATGGATGATATCTTATTTTGTGAATACATACCCAGTATTTGTTTCTGATTTGTTCAGTGGGACATGGGGAAAGTAGTCCAGTTTATTGTATTAAAGTTCCAATTTTTTTTTTTTTTTTTTTTTTTTTACCATCTTTGCTTTTCTAGAACCAAAGTACAGACTAAAGGCTCAAGTTCCCTATTCATAGAATTAAGTAGCTAGAAGGTATATATTTCGTATCTCCAAACAAGATAGTGATGCTCTTCATCTAAGCAGCCATAAACCAGCTTGGTATTTCATTTTCATTAGTCAGGTCAAAAGTTCTGGTTATCAGTAATGAGTTGGTGACAATTTTAAAACTTCTTTCTTTAATATTAAATATTATGGTTGCAGAATAATTTCTTTCGATTCCTTTTCTAGGCATTTTTAAAAAAATATATTTTATTGATTTTTTACAGAGAGGAAGGGAGAGGGATAGAGAGTTAGAATAATCGATGAGAGAGAAACACCGATCAGCTGCCTCCTGCACACCCCCTACTGGGGATGTGCCTGCAACCAAGGTACATGGCCTTGACTGGAATCAAACCTGGGACCCTTCAGTCCGCAGGCCGACGTTCTATCCACTGAGCCAAACCGGTCAGGGCTCTAGGCATTTTGGTATGGATTTTATGGTTTCAGTGATAGGCTTTTAGTGTTCTTTCTATTCTACACGAATCAGTGGGTCTTAGCATTTTGTGAGGTCACTGGTCCTTTAGAGAAGTGATGACAACTCTGTAGAAGATGTGCATACGTGTGCACAGGTACTTACACTTTACCCCAGTTGTGGGAGCATGGACTGCCTGAGGTCCATTTAGATTAACAACCCCTGTTTGAGACTTTCAAATTGATAACTTAATGAGTTTGATTTATACTGGATCTTTTATAATTATGTTTTGGGTTCAGATGTTTTAAAGTGGTACTTTAATTTGTGTTTGGTATTGTTCCTAAAAACACAGGGGAAAAAAATCTTTTAACATGATTTTGATGTTTTAATTTGCAGACAGGAGTATGACTTAAATACCTTCCTCTAGAAATTTACAATATGTAATACCCTTTGTAATACTTTAAGCAATAAAAAAAAAAAAGAAATTTACAGTTTTAAAACTTGAATCAAATGAGTTTTTTCATTTTATTTTAGATTTTACTCTGCAGAAATCAGTCTAGCATTAAATTACCTTCATGAACGAGGGATAATTTATAGAGATTTGAAATTGGACAATGTATTGCTGGACTCAGAAGGACACATTAAACTCACTGACTACGGCATGTGTAAGGTGAGGGAAAATTCTAGTTATTCGAAAGCTCTCAGATACTGCTAAGGTTGTTTTGGTAAAATAACTTCATACTTAAAGATGGAGAAATGATTACTACTTTGTTTAGGATCCTTTTTGGAATTGTAGCACAAAAACACGTATACAGGGTGGGGCAAAAGTCGGTTCACATATTTGTGAATATGTAAAACACAGTTTACTCTTTTATTTATTATTTCCATATGAACAACTGTAAACTTACTTTTGCCCTACCCTGTACTTTTTTTCTAACCATTTACAGAATTCCATATTTTCTGTGTTATATGTCCTATAATGAGTTAAATTCTACATATGCTCTGTAACCTTTTTTTGAAAGTTGTGATATTATTAAAATTTTGAAGATAAAAATTATCTACAGTCCCTCAATGTTAACACAGCTACTTGCATATCACCTTCCAGTTTTTGCCATTTAATTGTAATTCTCAATAATGCATTTAAAATTTTCCTAGGAAATTTATCTTTTTTTATATTTAAATTTTAAATATCTGACATAAAGTGCAGTTCATTTTCAGGACATGTCCTTCATTTCTTGGTGTTTTATTCTTTTTGTAACACTGTTTTGCTTAAAGGGTCAGTCTTTTTCCACAAAATGTGAAATGAATCCCCAGGAAATAGAATATTCTTATTTTATGACTTAGAGTCAGTATTTAAACTTTCCTAAAATCAGACCTCTTGCAAATATTGGATGAATTTCTTTTTCTTGTAACAATTCCTTGGGAAATCTAAAACACTAAAAAAATTTTATGTAGTTTCTACAGAAATACTTCCTTTAGGTTTCATTAATTTAATCAATCTCTTCACTTTCTCACTAGATGCTTTTATATAAAGAGTGCTTAGAATAGTGATGACTAGAGGCATATAAAAACTTGAATTAATATCTTCAGGCTTATGTTTGAAATATTTTGTGAACATTGATTTTTATGGACTGAAAAACTTTGACTATTTTATGATTTATTTACTAGAGGCCCAGCGCACGAAATCATGCACTTGGCGGGGAGGCGGGATTCCCCCTTAGCCTGGCCTGCACCCTCTCGCGGTCTGGGAGCCTTCATGGGATGTCCAACTGACAGCTTAGGCCTGCTGTCAGTCAGACATCCTTATCGCTGCTGCGGAGGTGGGAGAGGCTCCCACCACTGCCACTGCGCTTGCCAGCAATGAGCCCCGCTTCTGGTTGAGCTGCACTCCCCCTTTGGGAATGCACTGACCACCAGGGGGCAGCTCCTGCATAGCAACTGGTCATTCCGCCATTTGGTTGATTTGCATATTAGTCTTTTATTATATAGGATTTATCAGCAGGGGAATTTTAATAGTAACATCTCTGTTACGCTGTAGATAATTTAGCTGATGGGCCTACGTTTATATAATTCAGTCAACAAGTGCATGATTTAGCATAGCTCTGTTATAGGTTAACAGACTGCATCCCTTGCCTCTGACTTTTGCCCTGAAAGTGAAAGTCATTTATTATTAAACAATATGTCAAGTCATTGCTAATAGTACCAAACAATTTAAGTCACAGTCATATTTCTTCATGTACAGAATAGCTTATATATCCCTATGAGGAATCACAAAATAATCTTTAGAGTCACAACATATTACTAAATATTTCTTCCAGATGTTTATAGAAGTGTTATAGCTTATAGAGTAAAATTTAAAGAAAAATACACACGCTATGTCTAAAATATCTTAGGGACACATTAAGAACCTCATAACAGTGGTTGCCTCTAGGGAGCTGGAGCAAGATGTATCGGACAGGAATGTGAAGAAGGCTTGATTTTTCAATGTATAGCTCCCTCCCCCCCATTTTTTTTTTCTTTTGGAATTTTTACCATATAATTTAACATTGGGAAATGGTTACATTCTAGGTACATACATTCAGTTGAATTTTTTGTAGTCATTAGCATTAAGAAGTCTGTAATTACATAGGGAATTACATGCTTCTAAAGTAAAAGAAGCAGATGCTTAATTGTATATTTAACTATCTTGTTGATTTCATTTAAGAAAACCTTATTGCTTGTTTTTTAAATATATTTTTATTGATCTCAGAGAAGAAGGGAGAGAGAGATAGAAACATTGGTGATGAGAGAGAATCATTGATCAGCTGCCTCCTACATGCCCCTACTGGGGATCGAGCCCACAGCCAGGGCATGTGCCGTCACTGGGAATCGAACCGTGACCTCCTTTATGACTTAGTATTTGGTCAGTATCTCACGTGTACTTAAAAAGGATATATAATTGGCACAGCTTGCTGGCACAGCTTGCTCCATTTTGCAAGCAAGGAGTCTCACACATACTCTCTCTCCCTCCTTCCTTTCTCCACACAGAAACATTGGTAGACATATTCTCTATATACATAATTTATATATTTTTTCAGCTCTAGCTTTTGTCCAAATCTTTCTGTGCTTACTAATTTTTTGTCCATGTAATCTATCATCCTATATAATAAAAACCTAATATGCAAAGTGTCCAGTCATCTGGTCGTTTGTTCAACCAATCAAAGTGTAATATGCTAATGATATGCTAAGGCCGCTCAACTGCTCCCTATGATGTGCACTGACCACCAGGGGGCAGACAGTTAACCAGTCAACCAGTCGCTATGACATGCACTGACCACCTGAGGGAACAGACACTCAGACCAGTAGTTTAGCTTGCTGCTGGGGTCCAGCTGATCAGGACTGAGCAAGCTGTGCCAGACACACCCTGGAGCCCTCCCGCGGTCTCTCCTGGCTGGCCAACCTCCCTGGCCCCGATCGTGCACTGGTGGGGTCCCTTAGCCTGTCCTGTGCCCTCTTTCAATCTGGGACCCCTCAGGGGATGTTGGAGAGCCAGTTTCAGCCCGACAGCAGAACGACTGGTCGCTGTGATGTGCACTGACCACCAGGGAGCAGACGCTCAATGCAGGAGCTGTCCCCTGGTGGTCAGTGCGCTCCCACAGGGACAGCGCCGCTCAGCCAGAAGCCGGACTCACAGACTGCGAGAGGGCGCAGGCCGGGCTGAGGGCCACCCCCTCCCCCCCACACACAAGTACACAAATTTTGTGCACCAGGCCTCTAGTTGTGATTAGGGATTGTATTACCAGTTTGGGATGCTTCAAAACAAGGTGGCTTCAAAAACAAGCACTTGTTTCTCATGGTTCTGGAGGCTGGGAAGTCCAAGGTCAAGGTGCCAGCACTGTTCATCATTTACAGATGGCTGTCTTCTTAGTGCATCCTCCATGGGGTGGGGAGCAGGGCTAGCTGTCTTTCCCTTTTTACAAGGACACTAATCCCATCCTGGGGGCTCTAAACTCATGACCTAATTACCTTCCAAAGGCTCCGCTTCCCCTATCACATTAGGGCTTCAGTATATGAATTTGGAGGCATACAAACATTCAGTTCCATAGCAGGGATTGTGAAATGCTAATACTTTTGTCTATTTCTATTCTTTGTATTTTGAGGCTGTATTGTTAGGCACGTACAGAGTTTGTTATAATTTCTTGGTGATTGCTCCATTTGTTATTGTGTAGTTTCTCTTTTTATACAGATTACTGGGTCTTGTCTTAATTTTCTCCATCCTGCAGCTATTAAAGTACAAAACCGAAAAAACTTATGCCCTAGGAACAACCAGAGAGAAACATCATTATGCCAGCTGTGGTTATATTAGGAAGCAAGGTTAAAGTGCTTCTTTTCTTCATAAAATATAATTCCTTTTACTCTAATATAATTTAACTTTTTCTATTAAATTTAACTTGAATATAAATTATTTTAAATGCAATTTTTATCGTAATTGAACTGATTTTTTATCAACATCTAATGAGGACAGATTTTCTTTGAGCTATTTCAATCCATGATTTTAATGTGAAAGGCAACTGTGCTAGTGATATTTTATTTAAGCTTAACAGTTGGTGAGCTTCTATAGGTGAAATGAAAGAGGTGAATTTAAAACAACATTTTGGGTCTTATTGTTTCTCTTTTTTTCTTTTTTATAAAAGGAAGGATTACGGCCAGGAGATACAACAAGCACTTTCTGTGGTACTCCAAATTACATTGCTCCTGAAATTTTAAGAGGAGAAGATTATGGTAATAAATTAATAGGTGGTATTTTTAGCTATGTGCTAAAAGGGTGGTTAGATGTGGTACAAATTGCATTATAGTATACTATAGTATTTTAAAGTTGATCTTATAGTATAAGCTATCCTGATCCCCTTAAAATCTACATTAAAGCCCAAACTGTGAAATTGGAGACAGTGGAACTTTGACAGTATTTGGGGGTACACATTTGAATGATATTTTATTAGTGACAAGCACTAAAGGGTACTAGGCACTATTCTAAGCAGTTTATATATATTACCTAAGTTAATGCTCTCAATCATACGACATAAACAGTTTTTTGTTTTTTTTTATTATTATTTTTTTTTAATTAAATCTTTATTGTTCAGATTATTACATTTGTTCCTCTTTTTCCCCCCCCCCATAACTCCCCTCCTCTCAGTTCCCGCCCCACCCTCCGCCCTCACTCCCCACCCACTGTCCTCATCCATAGGTGCACGATTTTTGTCCAGTCTCTTCCCACATCTCCCACACCCCTTTCCCCCCCAAGAATAGTCAGTCCATTCCCTTTCTATGTCCCTGATTCTATTATAATCAACAGTTCATTCTGTTCATCAGATTATTTATTCACTTGATTCTTAGATTCACTTGTTGATAGATGCATATTTGTTGTTCATAATTTGTATCTTTACCTTTTTCTTCCTCTTCCTCTTCTTAAAGGATACCTTTCATATAATCCTGGTTTGGTGGTGATGAACTCCTTTAGCTTTTCCTTATCTGTGAAGCTCTTTATCTGACCTTCAATTCTGAATGATAGCTTTGCTGGATAAAGTAATCTTGGTTGTAGGTTCCTGGTATTCATCACTTTGAATATTTCTTGCCACTCCCTTCTGGCCTGCAAAGTTTCTGTTGAGAAATCAGCTGACAGTCGTATGGGTATTCCCTTGTAGGTAACTGAGTTTCTTTCTCTTGCTGTTTTTAAGATTCTCTCTTTATCTTTTGCTCTTGGCATTTTAATTATGATGTGTCTTGGTGTGGTCCTCTTTGGATTCCTTTTGTTTGGGGTTCTCCGCGCTTCTTGGACCTGTAAGTCCATTTCTTTCACCAGGTGGGGGAAGTTTTCTGTCATTATTTCTTCAAATAGGTTTTCAATATCTTGCTCTCTCTCATCTTCTGGCACCCCTATAATTCTGATGTTGGTACGCTTGAAGCTGTCCCAGAGGCTCCTTACACTATCCTCGCATTTTTGGATTCTTTTTTCATTTTGCTTTTCCGGTTGGGTGTTTTTTGCTTCCTCGCATTTCAAATCATTGACTTGATTCTTGCGCTCCTCTGGTCTGCTGTCGGGAGTCTGTATAATATTCGTTATTTCAGTCCGTGTATGCTTAATTTCTAGTTGGTTCCCCAATATAACATCGAGGGTCTCATTAGTTTTCTTGTAGATCTCATTAAGTTTATCGGCAGCTTCTAAACAGTTCTTGAGAGACCTTAAAAGTGTGGTTCTGAACTCTATATCTTCCATTGACAATTTTGTCCTGTTTCTTTGTCTCCACATTTTGTTATTCTTCCTTGGTGCACCCCCTAGTGGTCTTTGTTCGCAGTCTTATAGTTAAATCTTGATTGTTGTAGCTAATTCCAGGGAGGGTTTGACCTCCAGGCCAAGTGGCTATGAGAATCAGCTGTGTCTGCAGTGAGAGAACTTCTGTCCTCTAGGGAGGTGCGAATCTAGCCTTTGCCTGAGGCTATCCAGCAAATGCCTCTGTGCAGGGCTTGGGCGGGGCGGGTCGAACAGGATCAACAGGGTGGGCTGGAGAGAGCAGTTATGGCGGCTCTCAGTCCTGTCCCAGGGGCTCTGCCTCTCTGAGTCCCGGCACCCGCTGCAAACCTCGGAGAGAAAGCTGCACTCGCTCTGACCGAAGCCAGACAGTCCCGCTTCTCCCGTTTGAATCTGGGTCCCTAAAGACTCGCCCGTATCTGGAGCTCAGAGTCTGCGACTCCCTCCCGATTGAATACGCCAACCGCGCCCTCCGCCGCCAGCCTGCTCCGCGCACTCCGCACCTCAGAATTTGACTTCAGCACTGCGCCTCCTCTGAGCGTCCGTATGCGTTTCTCTTTCCTCCTAGTTGTAGGACTTCCACTCAGCCAACGTTCCTGTGGTTCTGGGTGATGTCCCTTCTGTTTTTTAGTTTCACTTTTGAGGTAGTTGTTCAAGGCAGCAAACTCCGGCGTTAACCTATGCCGCCATCTTGGTTCTGATACGACATAAACACTGTTAATTCCCATTTCACAGACGAGGAAACTAATGTATAGAAAGTTTAAGTAACCTCCTCAAGGTCATACAACTGGGAAGTGGCAGAGTAGGGATTTAAACGTCATCCATATGACTCCAGAACAGCCTCTGGAAGATTGTTCAGATTTCTTGGGATATCTTTAAGACGTGCTTTATCTTAAAGCATGGCTGCCTTGGTTCTGGACCTCTTGTTTCAGCAGATATAAAGGAGGATGGGTACTTCTTTTTTTTTTTTTATTATTAGTTAAGGTATTACAAATGTGTCCTCATCCCTCCCATTAACCCTCAAACTCCCCCCGGACCCCCCCCCCCACACACACACTCATGCTGGAGGATGGGTACTTCTGACCACTGCTCATAATCTGATTCCAAGGTTCTTCAAGAATCTTTAATCAGCTAGCAGAAGATCAAGTTTTAGACCCAGGAAAGTTATTCTCAAATGCAATTTAATTATGTCAACAGAACAAAATATTAGATACAGGCTATGAGTCTGAAATTACACATTTATTTAAGAAAAGAAGCTGAATGTGTTATTTTTTTATAGTTTAATTTTAAAGTTACTTCTCAGGTACCTCCCCTTGTTGATAAGTGAAATATGCTTGCAATTCTCTATGCCTGTCATGATGGTTATAATGCATCTAGAGTTTACTTTCTCATGTTTATTTTTTATTATGTAATAAAATGAATCTCAAATTAATGACGTTTAAGAATGCAGATTGGATAATTTAAAATTTCTCTGTTGAAGGTTTCAGTGTTGACTGGTGGGCTCTTGGAGTACTAATGTTTGAGATGATGGCAGGAAGGTCTCCATTTGATATTGTTGGGAGCTCTGATAACCCTGACCAAAACACAGAGGACTATCTCTTCCAAGGTAAGAAAGAGGGAAATAGCCCTGGCCAGTGTGGCTTAGTTAGTTAGGAGTCGTCCTGTGTATCAAAGTGTTGCCAGTTTGGTTCCGGACAGGGCACATTACCTGGGTTGATGGCTCGATCCCCAGTAGGGACTGTGTAGGAGGCAGCTGATGGTTGTTTTGATCTCACATCGATGTTTCTCTCTCTCCCTTTCCCTTCCTCTTTCTCTAAAAATAAATTTAAAAAAAAAAGGAAGGAGAAAATAATCTCGAGAATGTCTTCCTTCATGTGTGAAGCTTTGACTTTTTTTATACACCTTTTCTACCTCTGTAGTGTCCATTTCCATTTGCCAGTTACCGCCTCACACTCAGAAACAGTTTGCTTCAGATTGTATATTGCAAACAGAGATTGGGGGAAGAAATCCTGTGGCTAGAGAGGACAGTCTTTTCACATGAACCCGAGGCCAAGTACATAAGTTCAAGAACAATATGGGAAAAAGTAGGGTACCAAGAAGATAAGAGGTATCAAAAGGTGAAGATAAAAGCCCCACAATTGGGAATGCAAAGAGTTGAACCGAACAGAAAGAAGCAGATAAGTACAGATCCCCAACACACAGTCCAAAGAAGTGGGAAGACTGCCATAAAGTTCTACATTTAATAATTAAGGACTCACAATAGGAATAAATATTTCATATAATAGCAAATCCAAATGGCGATGGAATATGTGGAAAGATGTCCAGCCTCACTAGTGGTTGGGTATGCACATTAAAACATTAATGAACGACTCTTTCATACCCCATGCATTTGGCAAAAAATTTATAGTGTTGTTAATACCAGTGCTGGTGAGGATGTGGAGCAGCTGGAATTCTTCATAGACTGCTGGCGGGAGTGAAATCGACACATCTTTGAAGAATAATTTGGCAATGTCCAGTCAAATCCAAAATAGTAATATGTGCCACACATTTTCCAGATATTAACTCATTTACACCTCATTACAAACCTGTGAAGCAGGTATTATTTTTACCAGTTTTACAGATGAGGAAACTAAGGCACAATAAGGTAGTCAAAGATAAAACAGGCATGTAAATGATTAAAAACGGAGAGGAATGGGGGTGGGAAAGTACACAGAGACGTTTAAGCAGTCTATGTAATGTCTTATTTTTTTCTGCTAAAATGCCTTGAATATCTCATAATAAAAATGTAAAGATTAAAGCCATGTAAAAGTTAAATATAATGCCATTATTTTATCTTTCTAGTTATTTTGGAAAAACAAATTCGAATACCACGTTCTCTGTCTGTAAAAGCTGCAAGTGTCCTGAAGAGTTTTCTCAACAAGGTATAAAATCCTGTATAAAAAATCTTTAGTGGTTTATCTCTATATAAATGAGACTGGTAAGTAGAGGATGAAGCAATGTAAAATTCCAAAATATCAGAGGATGTAATTTTTTCAGTTACATCTGGAATTTGTCTCTTCGCCAAAGAGTAATTTGACAACATTAGATACTGAGATGAACTGTCCTTTCCATTTGCCAAAATAATTTACTCCCAGCTGTATATTACATATGTTATTTTCAATGTAAATGATACATACTGTGTACTCAAGGAAAAATTACATCTTTGGGGATGGTCTTAATTATACTTTCTGCTCTTATTTTCAATTTTCTTTGGATTCATATTCATAGAATCTCTTTACTTATTGAGCACTTGGGGCAGTCGTGTTCTCTACAAATTCCCATGTCAAAAACCCTATGATTAGATAACATTCAGAAGAAATGAATCTTCTTCGCTCTTAACAAATCTGAATGCATTCAGTTGTTTGTTGTAGATGGTAGGCTATAGTTTTAGGATCTATCTAAAGTTATGATTTTGAACTGTTATTACTGATAACATTTATAACACCAACTGTATAGGTTTTTTCCCACACCAACAACCAATTCTCCAGCTCTCCAGATACCAACTATGTGTCCTATATTTCACTTCATTTCTGACACTAACTATCTGGAGTTAGCATCAGACTCCACAGGTGTAAGGACTCAATTCTGCAAGACTGCCCTCACTTCAGAGGCCAGTCACAAGTATTGGGTATCACTTCTGTCTGACTTGGCTATAAAATTGGGGGTCCCCCTCCCCCCCACACACACACACTTTAGTTTCAATAATTTGCTAGAATGGCTCACAGAAAATCAGGAAAACATTTACTTACTATCACTGGTGTATTATAAAGATTACAAAGGAACAACCAGACGAAGAGGTGAGGTCCAGAAGGGCCCTGAGCACAGGAGCTTCTGTTCCTGTGGAGTTGGGGTGTGCCACCCTCTTGGCACATAGACATGTTCACCAGCCAGAAGCTCTGTGACCCCCATGATATAGAGATTTTTATGGAGGTGCCTTCACATAAGCATGATTGATTATATCGTTGGCCATTGGTGATTGAGCTCAATTTGTAGTCCTTCTGGAAATTGGGCTGAAAGTCCCAACCCTTTAATTGCATGGTTGGTTCCTCTGGCAATCAGACCCCATCCTGAAGCTATCTAGAGGCCCACCAAGAGTCACCCTATTAGGGTAAATTCAGGAATTATTGAAAGGGACTTGTTATGAATAACAAAAGACACTCCTGTCACTCAGGAAGTTAAAAGGGTTTTAGAAACTTTGGGTCCAACCAGGGACAAAGACCAAATACATACTTCTGATTGTGTTACAATGATCTTGGCAATCAAATCAAATTATAGGTTAATGTGCATTTACCTTCTAAGATAAATGGATAAGATAATGATGACTTTTAATAAAATAAGAAATTGAAGCTTATTTTAAACTAGAGGCCTGGTGCATGAAATTTGTGCATGGGTAGGGTTTCTAGGCAATCAGGGCCAATCAGGGCCTTCCTTCCCCTGGCTGCCGGCTGCTGGTCGGGGCCCTCCTTCATTTTGCGCCACCCCCTGGTGGTCAGTGCATGTCATGCGAGCGGTCGAACTCCCGAGGGGACAATTTGCATATTAACCTTTTATTATGTAGGGTGAGTGCTTTATATGAGGAAAGTTTTAAACTAGAAACATAAACGTTAACAGTGAAAAGTGAAGGTCAGAGGTGTTAATATGCAAAATAAAATGCCTTTTATTGGGGGGCTGGGGACTGGGAACATGTTTTCATTTCACAGTAATGAATAAGCTAAGTTATAGGCCCCTTCTCAGTCCAGTGATTCAGATGAAGGTTGTATCATTATTGTACACAAATTATAGGTTGTTGCTGTAATTGGGCATAGAGCTTCTAAATTGAGCTAAGAACAAACTTGTGAAGTTTGGGGGTTTGCAAAATTTGACTTGTCACTGTAACCCATGGCAAAGACATAGCTGAATGCTGCTTAAATTATTCTGCTGCTCTATTTTCCCTCCCATTTCTCTTTAGCATGGGTGGTTGCAGCTTCACTTTAATTACATGACAGCTGGAGAAAGCCGTGAGGAAATCTTTCTTGTCACAGCTTCAGATATTCATTTGAACCTAGTGTTGTACCTTCTAGAAAGGAAAGGTAGACCATTCTGATTTCAGAAATAAAGGTATCATATAGTAGACACAAAACACAGGTCACAAAGATCATGTATTCTAAAGCCTGATATTCACCCATTTTTGAAACATTTCTTTCCACCATAGGACCCAAAGGAACGATTGGGTTGTCATCCTCAAACAGGATTTGCTGATATTCAGGGACACCCGTTCTTCCGCAATGTTGACTGGGATATGGTATGTATATTGTGATTGTTTTCTGTGATGGGTTTCATCATTATCTTGGGCCAAATTTTATTACCTTGAAAGAATGTTGAAAAACGAGTGTATCACAGCTTAAATTACTTAAAAACCTCTCTCTAACATGGAACAGATTGTAATATTGAGACCTGCACCACTGCTCAGATTTGTAAATTACTTCCCTCACTGTGAATGGTGTTGTGGCACCTTACCTAGGGACTCACTTTAATAAGACTGGGAAACCTCTGGGCAGAGGAGGAATGTAGAGGGGGATTTTTCCAAGAATGCAGGCTTGAACTGTCATCCAATCTGTCTTTCTAGATGGAGCAAAAGCAGGTGGTACCTCCCTTTAAACCAAATATTTCTGGGGAATTTGGTTTGGACAACTTTGATTCTCAGTTTACTAATGAACCTGTCCAGCTCACTCCAGATGATGAGTAAGTAATTCCATAGACTGAAATAGCGTCGGAGTTCTTTGACGGTCCCACTTTGAGTGGCTATATAATGTTTCATGATCAGATTACACTATAATTTATCTAACCACTGAGTTACTGGGTATTGAATCTATTATATCACTATAAATTATGACAATAATGGGCATTTTCTACTTTGACTTACATGCATTCTAATTCTCACAACCTTGTAAACCTAGTTATTATCATCTTCGTTTTACAGATGAGGAAACTGAGGCTCAGAGAGGTTAAGCATAAGTTACACCGATGTGAGGGGGCAGAGCCAGGATTCAGACCCAAATATGAGTGGCTACGGCCTGTGCTGTTTCCACTGCGCTGCACTGTTTTTCATTTCGATGATGACCATCTTCGAGTTCCTGTGTATGACCTTAGATAGATTCCTAGAAAGGGAATTAGATCAAGGGGTATGGATTTTAAAGCTCTTGATGTGTATTGCCAAATTGCTTTTTAAAAATATTATATCAAATTATCACATCCAGCCAACAGTGATCTCATATATTTTTTTAAATATATTTTATTGATTTTTTACAGAGAGGAAGGGAGAGGGATAGAGAGTTAGAAACATCGATGAGAGAGAAACATCGATCAGCTGCCTCCTGCACACTCCCTACTGGGTATGTGCCTGCAGCCAAGGTACATGCCCTTGACCGGAATCGAACCTGGGACCCTTGAGTCCGCAGGCTGACGCTCTACCCATTGAGCCAAACCGGTTAGGGCTCATATATATATTTTTTTGTGTTCGTGTTACATATTGTAAAAATATCTTTGGAATAATTTGGGGATGTTTTGATCCTCTACCTGTCATTACAGATTCATTCTCTCATTTCAAGGAGGCTCTTACAGCTCGGCAGACATTTATGTCTTGTTAATTCTTATCACATTCCTCATTGCAGCTGTTCCAAACTGTCTGTACATTTTAGCCCTGCCTCTATCACTCTTAATGGTTTAACTCTGCCTTAACTTGACTGCACGGATCAAGACCTCCCTGTTGTGAGCTTGCTCCCTTTTCAGCTGTCATTAGGGTACTTACATCTCAGAATTGCTGTCTAACTCTTCTCAACCTGTTTCTTCTTCCCCATTCTTGGAAAGCTATCTGTCTTTTGCAAGAAGTGCTCTCCTATTTTCCTAGACCTGTTCCCTTATTTTCCTCCAGGATCTTATTTACTCAGTTGCCTCCATTACTCCACCTTCTTTAATGCCTTTCTTTCAGCTTCTTTCTCTCTGCCTCTAAACATGCTCAGATATCCTAATTTTTTTCTCGTGAATCTTAGCACTTCTTTGAACCACCACATTCTTCCCTTATTTTCTTTTCATCTGCAAGCTTTTTCAAAGATAGTTAATAGATGCTCATGGTAAAGGAAAAATAAGCAGTATCTCTATCGAATGCCTTCATAATAGTCAACATTGGTTGCACTTTCTTACTGCCAACACTTTAAAAACACAATTTAACCTGCTCCTTCAGCTTTTGAAGGTTGAATTGACTTCTTACTTTCTAAATTTTAAGGCATGTTTTGATCAGTTCCAGTGTACCCTGATGTCTATAAAGCATTTGGTACTCATGGCCTTGCTTTGGTTGGCACTACCCATCCTGGTTGTACTTCACCTCTGTGACCGCTTGTCACCTTTCTTCCCTTGTCCCCTCCTTGAGACTAGGGTGCTTCATGGTTCTGTTCACGCCAGCCTTCTCTTTGCTGTATGCAGCTTGTATCTTGGAGATGTCAGCCAGCCCCGTAGCATGGATACCAGCTATTAAAAAGGACTCCCAGCTAACGTGGCCAACAATTATTGAGCAGAGGCACTATGCTAAGTACTAGACATTCAAAACTGATCTAAACTTAGGCCAATTTTGCAAAAAAACTTACTATTAAAAGAAAGAGATATATATGTACCAAAGTCATTATTTCAGACAGCATCGTGTTTTAAAGCTTTTTTTTTTTTTTTTTTTTTAATATATTTTATTGATTTTTTACAGAGAGGAAGGGAGAGAGATAGAGAGTTAGAAACATCGATGAGAGAGAAACATCAATCAGCTGCCTCCTGCACATCTCCCACTGGGGATGTGCCCGCAACCCAGGCACATGCCCTTGACCGGAATCGAACCTGGGACCCTTCAGTCCGCAGGCCGACGCTCTATCCACTGAGCCAAACCGGTTTCGGCCAGCATCGTGTTTTAGAAAGAGCACTGGGTTTAATCAAAAGATAGGAATTTGAATTCAGACGCCACCTCTTACCATCTGGGTAACCTGGGTGTGAATTGCACAATTTCTCTGAGCCTGTTTCTTCTTGTATTGCCTACTGCACAAGGTTGCTGTGAAGAATAAATGAATGATGGTTTCTAAACCTAGCCACCGCCCTGGTATCTATCCTGAGCTGCATTTCCATTCGCTTTTTCAACACCTCCCTAGCTTGTCAGACAAGCACCTCAAACATATGAAGTCTGAAATCAAAGTAATGACTCTTTATGGTCTCTTTTTCTGTTCTCAGTGATTCCTTGTTTTTATTTGCCTTTTTTGCTCATTGCAGCACTGTGCATTCCTGCGCTCGGATTCAGAGTATCAGGATCATTGATTCCTCCTTTCCATTAAAAACCTGTATGGTACCTTCATCTGCCACGTCCATGTCTGTTTTTCCTTTACTTCATCATTTGCATCACATCTTTCTTTTTCATTTGCATTACCATAAACCCAATTCAAATCTCTTTCAAATCATACCTAGAATATTATGCCACCTTCCTAAATGGACTCCTTTACTTCACATCCCACTCTGTACACCTCATGAAGTGCCACTCCAGAAACCTTTAACAGCTCCCGCATTGCCTAGCAAATGACATCTATCCTCTTGGCTAGCATTTAAGGCCTCCCACCATCTGCTCCAGCCTAACTTTCTAGCCATAGCTCTTGCTATACTTTAACACAAACGCTGTGATCTGATTAGTCTCTTACTCACCATTCCCTGATAGTGTGCTGCTAACCTTTACTCGTGCCATTTCCTCTATGTTCTTCCTTAATTTTTATCTGTTGAAATCTTCCCCATCTTTCAGAGCTTTCTCAAATGCAACCCAGTCTTGGATGGATCAAGGTGAAACTCCATAGTGTAAACATCACTAGATTCTCTGAGCTAGCCATTACTTCCCTCCCAGAATCATCTGCCACATTAATACCCTTCTTCTATTCCCGTGCTCCAACTCTAATAAAATTACTTTCATTTCCCCAGACCTAGCATAATCTTTCATAATTTCATCCAGTAAGTGTTTGCTAAATGAATGCTTCTTTTTTTTTTAATTTCTCTAGCTAGAAGTCACCCTTTTGTTTTGTTTTGTTTTGCTTTTTTGATTTTTAAAAAATTTTTAAATTACAGTTTACATTCAGTATCATTTGTATCAGTTTCAGGTGTACAGCAAAGGCTAGACAACCGGCACCATACGTAGTTACAATATTATTGACCGTATTTCCCTGCTGTACTCCACGTCCCCATGACTGTTCTATAACTGCCAACCTGTACTTCTCAAAACATGTGAACGCTTCACAAATTTGCATGTCACCCTTACACAGAGGCCATGCTCATCTTCCCTGGACCCTCCTGATTTTAGTGTATGTGCTGCTGAAGCAAGCACTACACTTTTCTTTAGAAATGTGTTTATCACAGGACTTAGCTTGTCCTATATGAAACTTAGCAGGTACTGCTTTCTCTTGTAGCTTTCTGTTCTATAAGGTACCTTCCCTCCTTGAAGGACAGAAACTATATCCTGTGTAACTTTGTGCTTTGCAGTAAGATGTGTACATTGAAGTATTAAAATATTCGCTAGTACTACTCACTCCTCATGTATTAACTAGAAGCCCAGTGTAACTGAATGTCAACCTCCCCCTCCCCCGTGACCCATTGCCTGTCTGTGGCGTTCTCCCTTAAGTCCAGGTCTCTCCGTGTACTTGTTCCTATTGCCTTTCCCTTCTGGTTAACGTCTTCTGGGCCTTCTCTTCACCATATATTCCGTCTGGCTATTGAGGTGACTACTAAATTGAATGCCTAATTCAGACCTGGATGTTTACCTGTAACTATGAATGTTGTTCAGGTCAAAAGTTAAGATGAACTAGAATTGTGATAACTTGTGCCTTTTAAAATCTCAGTCTTCAGTTTGGATTACCTTTTGATTCTAAAGTTGCTTGCGAGTCTTTTAGCCTGTTTTGGTTTTTTTCAGGACTCTTGATTCTTCTAGAAAATATTTTGGGATTAATCTAAAAACTTGTAAAACTTCTTTCCATAATTAACATAAATTAGCCTTATTTTTTGTTTCTTAATCTTATTTTACCATTTAAATACGTTGAAGAAATATTGATTATGGAAATTAATTTACTTTTGTTCCAACAGTGATATTGTGAAGAAGATTGATCAGTCTGAGTTTGAAGGCTTTGAGTACATCAATCCTCTTTTGATGTCTGCGGAAGAATGCGTCTGATCCTCGTTTCTCAACTGTGCATTTTGCTCGTGTTGCCATTTAATGCATGGAAAACTCATTACCAGCCTGGATATGATGAACCATTTGATATTTGCCAACTACAAAAAAGCGCTCAATAACTTGTATTTGTTGACTGTAAGAGTCAATTATTACATATAAATTTAGCTATGGGAAAAAAAAGAGACTAGTTTCCAGACAATCGTGTCAAAATTCATTTATACTGGTAGTCTAGCAGCCTACTGATGAGTAACAAAGTTGTCTTTTTCCTTTGAAGAAACTACTTACCACTGCTTTTAAAAAGAGTGTCTGTTGCATTAAGGCACATGGTGGTATTACATCATAAGCCTCTCTGTGATTTTTGTCATACTTCTTTTTAAGTATTTAATTTTGGAATAAAAAGATTAATTCAAAATATATTACCTGTTAGTGTATGAATTCTTTGTGTTTAAAAATTCAGCTGTAAATTTTATCATTGCCTTGGATAATTACTGATTTTTAAGGTAGCAATTGTTAAGTTGACTGGCAATAAAAAAGGTATTACTTGCTAAAAATTGGGGAATACAGATTCTTCTTGAGGAAAAAGTTAGGCACATTTTATTAAGAATCAGATTCCAAATCATTAGCTGTTTTTGAGTTCTTTTGTATATGAGGGGTTAGTTTCTGAGCTAGTCCCTTTAGCCAGAACTTTAGCTGGAATGTTAACAAATGTAGTTCAAAGGATCCACGATGTAGCTGAATGGAAAAGTTCTCAGTATATAGAAACGAAAAATAGAAACTTAAAGGATATATAAAAAAAGTGCAATGGTAATATTTATTTCTTATTGGAGAGTAAATCTCACAGTTGCTTTTGTGATTTGATTAAATAAGGAGGCACTTACTACAAAACTTGTAAAAGCATTCTATTTATCCAATGGAGACGGAATGCGTACTATTTGCCCTTATAATTTAGCATACAAGAAAAGAATTTACCTTCCAAACAGTGTGTTAAACATACTTACTTCCTGCCCCAAAACACATTATCCACGCTTTGGACCCTGTTTATGGAGTCTGCAGTGAAATCCATGAAAAATAATAAACATGAATAAGTGTGCAGGACCCACACGTACACTCACCTCTCAGTCCCAACCACTTAAGCGAGTTTTTGTTAAGTAGGTAACACACGTAATACAGAATACAATACATTTCAGAGGCAGAGTTCTTCAGATTATGTTTTATTAATATTAGTGTTTAGGAATGTGTTATGTAAAGGGATGCCAGGGATAGCATCCTTCTGTTATTTTATTTTATTTTTTTTAATGAAAAGGGACCTAAAAGTAATCACCATCATCTAAATTACTTATAATTCCCCAATCTTAGTAAAATTTAATTTTGGGGAAAGCTGTTGAGTCTTCAGCTTAGAATTACTTAAAATTTGTAGGCATTTAATATCTTCTTTTTTGGATGTTACATTTCATTAGAAATATAATTTTCCCAAAATTTCTGACCATGTACTCTTTTTATTTTATGATTTTTTAAAATTATTATTCTACAGAGTTTCTCTCTCTCATACACAAACATCAGTGTGAGAGAGAAACACTTATTGGTTGCTCCCCTTTACGTGCCCCGACTGGGGATCAAATGCACAACCTGGGTATGTGCCCTGCCAGGAATTGAACCCACCACCTTTTGGTGCACAGGACGATGCTCCAACCAACTGAGCCACACCGGCCAGGGCCTGCCTGGCCATGTAGTCTTTTCTTTAAATAATTATGTCTGAAAGCAATGAAAACCTCAAAGGAAAAATGTTTATATCCACGTTTCTCTTAATACCTGAAACTTGTTTTTTAAAAAAAGCAGTATTCACTTCAATCATAAACTTACAGAAAATTCGGACATATTATGATATATGTTTATGATCTTGCTTTTAAGTGGTGCTGTTTCCCCTCGGGCATTAGTTCTAAAATTTTAGAATGTGGAATAAGTTTGTTTAAAAACACATTACTGGGCCTACCTTAGAATTCTGTTGGGTCTTTGGAACCATATTTTGAGGAAACTTTTGAGTCATTCTTTTATTTTTGTCCTGTGGTTAAATATTAGAAAGAGTACTCATGATAAAACATTTTGAGTAGAGGTAGGCAGTGAGTACTGTTTTACCTACTATTTTAAATATATTTTGAATGAATGACTTCCTCAAGTTAGATATCATCTCAAAAAAAAATCCCATCAGTTTTCTATTAATGTTGCAAACGATAAACATTTTTCTGTGATGAGGTTTTAGCCATTATTCAGGGTGGTCTTTAGTTTTTAATCCTTTTTTAAAATCTAAGATTTACTGTGTATATTTTATACAGAATTGCATTACAAATATGTTTCTAATTGTGTTATGTATTTTGTAGTCTTTAAGTGCCATGTTAATCTTTTTTATATTATATAAAGTTCTCTGAAAATACTCACCAGGGGAAAAAGGCATTTGACAGTCAGAATGGTTGGAATTTTGGTGTTCTGAGAAAAAATTTATTTTGTATAAGCATGTGGTCAGATCATTTTATGTGTACGCAGCCTGAATTGACTATCAGGTATTTTGCTTTATGCATTTACTTTTAAAATTTTGTTTTGCTTTTGCCATGTAGAATACTGAATACTGCCTTGGTCATCATAATGTAGTCTGTATTTGTGTACCTTTTTTTTTTTACTTTAAAATTTTAAATAAAATGTTTAATACCCATAAGATTGGGACGTTTTTAATTATGTAACATATCAGAACCTTGTTTAAGATATATCACAATTTGTTCTAAAAGGAAAATGAGAATTTTAGGGTTTGGGATTTTGCTGTACTTCCAAAAGCATTCTGGTAGTGCTGGTGCCATATTGTAGTCATTCACTCATAAAATAGTCAGTATATTTTTAAACTTGCCCGTCTATCTGTCTCTTTTATTAGAAAACAAATTAGTAAAAACAGATTCAGCTGAACACAGAGCATTTTAAGTAGTTTTAAAACTGAAGGAAATTTGAACAGAACAGATGAATCCCAAATTATGTTCTACAGTGATCTATTGTAAAGTTCTAGAACTCCTTTCTCAGTTGAGGCTTAGTGTCCTTATGTAAATCAGTGTGAGCCTGGTGTCCCCCGTTTGCCACTCTTGTTTCTTTCCCTTCACAAAAATAAAATCTTGAGTGCCTTTATTTTTTTTTCTAAATTAACTTGTCAGAAGCTCTAGGGCCTGTGTAATAAAACCACCAAAGACTGATTTCATGAGTCCGTTATTTTATCTTTTAAAATTTTTTTTTTTATTGTTGAGAGTATTACAGATGTACCCCTGTTGGCCCCCCATTGCTCCTCTCTACCTGGATCCCAGTGCACCCCCAGGTGTTATTTTATCTTAAGGTCAACTCTTTCTCAAAATGGAGTTAAAAGCAGTGTTATCAAAGCACTATCCAGACTATCCCCTGTACCAAATCATAAATATATTTTCCTTTGAGTTAGTAAAAGTCCAAAGAGGAGTTTGAAGCTTTAGGGAAGTTTTTCATTAGGCATTTAGTCACTGGGGGAGTCAACCAGTCTCTCCCTGGAAGGTAAAGCCAGTCTCCTGTCTTTAAAATTCAATATGTTGCTTTCTGGACAACACCCAACAGTGAGCCATTTGCTGTATTTGATGGTCTCCCTTTGTAGAAATACCCTTCTCTGCTCTAGGACGTTAGTTAAAACCCAGATGCTGGTAGTCTGAGCAGTTTGTACTCAGCGTCTATTGTTCCTGAATATACTTGGAATTTACTATGCATGGTGTTAAATAAGGCTAATAAAAAGACAGAACCTCTACCCGTGACATTCGAGATGGAAAATATACTGAGGAAGATGTTCGTCTTCACAACAAATAGTCCAGTGATAAAAGCCAAATAAATGCAGTAAAATATGGATTATGTGGTCATGATAGTTTACCAGCTTCACCCATATTAGTTTTACTTGACATAGTTTTACTTGACATTGAGTTTTCTATTGATCCATGCTAGACATTTTTCAGGTTTATGGTACATTCCACAAAGCTTTCAGAATTCAAATATGTAATAAGAATAAAATCTTAAATGCCTGTATGTATTATATATACACTAAGGGCCCAGTGCACGAATTCGTGCACCTTGAATGGAACTCTGGGCCGCAAGGCTGTGGTGGGTACAGGGGCAGGTCTTGGCCCATCCTCTGCATCCCCACCCAGCCCCGCCTGCCACGGGCCCCTTGTCTTCTGTCTGCCGGCAATCCCACTTCTGCTGCCGCTGCTCCCATGTGCTGATGGCACCGGCCCCGCTGGCACCTGCTGACAACATGGAGCGATTGGGGCCAATGCCAGCAGCGGGTATGAGCGGGGCCTGCTGCCCCGATCGCCCCTCAGGAGCAGAGGCAGGTGGAGAAGCCCTCAGACGATCAGGGGTGGCAGTCGCCGCTCACACCGCTGACAGTGCTGACCGATCAGGGCTGGCACTAGGCGCCGGCAGCGGGTGCGAGCAGCGGCTCTGGCACTGGCCGTGGGTACGAGCAGGGCTGGCACTGGCAGCAGGTGTGAGCGCTGGGTGGGACCGCAGCACGCAGGAACAAAGAATTTTCAGTAACCACCAGAGGCTCGCCCCGATGACAGCGACCAGCACCTCACCTTGGTCTAGCGCCCCCGCTCACCTGCTCCACCATTCCACCATGGCTGATGCCCGCCATGTTCTGCACTCTTCTGCCTGCTGCCTGGTGGTCAGCGCATGTCATAGCGACCTGTTGTTCAATTGTTCCACCGTTTGGTCTATTTGCAAATTATATATATATATATATATATATATATATATATATATATATATATATATATATATATATGATTATTTCTGGCTTTTGAGCTCAGAAATATGAATTGGATTTTACATGGAAATGGGAGAGGAAATTGTCCAGTGCTTCTGCTTAGATTAGGTTTTTATACAATCCACCTCTGAAATTTATAATTAGAAAGAATCCAGCTCAGAATTTGAGAGTGACTCTCAGATGTAAAATGTGACCACACAATTCACCTCCCTGTAGCAGTTTGTGCCTTACAGGTATAACAGTGTCTTTTTACTCCAATTATGGAAGAAAATGGAATTACCAGTATCTAAGAATTAAGTGGCTATTTAGTGTGACCTTTCAAAGTATATCTGAAACTTATAACTTAAGACAGATGGACTCACTCAAATTGAGAGAGCTGTAACTCATTTTCATTGACAGTTTAGTCAGAAGCAAATGCTATTTGTGTAAGAAAGTCCATTGCAAGTCTCTAAAAAATTCTTGAAAAAATTAGATGCTTTGGTTTTCTCCATAAAAGGGAAGTGCTGGGTTTCTAGAGGAATTGCCATGTAATGGTAATTGCCATTTAAAACTTACATGATATAAACTATCTGCAATGTGGGTGACTATCCTTGGTGACATTTT